GCGTGCCGCTTCGATGAGGCCACCAGGCCGTACCAGTTCGCGCTGCAAGCGCGAGCTGGGACGGATTGCCTGGCCGCTTTGCTTCGCGCTGCCACCGAGCTCGACCCCGCAGCCACCGTCGTGTCTCTTGACGGGCGTTGCGCTTATGACTCGGTGTCCCGGGCTGCTTTCCTCGACAAACTCGCGGAAGTGACGCCTTCGCTTGTACCCCTTGTCCGCGCCTTCTATGCGCGGCAATCGGTGTACTTGTGGTGGGACGGTACCGGCGCCTGCCACGCATCCTACAGGGCGATGGCTGTGAGCAGGGCGACGCGTTGGCTCCCGCCCTATTTGCCCTTGCGCAGCACGCGGCGCTGGTGGCGGCTTCCCAGCAGCTCCGGCCGGGAGAGTTTCTCGCTGCTTTCTTGGACGACTTGTATATCGTCACCGTGCCCAATCGCGCGCGCGCCGCACTCGAAGCGGTTTCTTCTGCCGTTGAGGAACTTGCCGGCGTTGCCGCCAACCTAGGCAAAACGCGCGTCTACAATCGCGCCGGGGGCGCCGCTCCGCCGGGCATTTCGGAGCTCGGCCCTGAGGCGTGGCGTGGCGACAAGCCGTTGCCCGAGCGTGGGTTTGTTGCCCTCGGCACGCCCGTCGGCGCCCCGGAGTACGTTGCTGCGTGCGCGAGGGAGCGCCTGGAGCAGGAGCAGGGCTTGCTGGCAGAGCTGCCACAGCTGCCTGACTTGCAGTGTGCCTGGCTGCTGCTCCTCTTTTGCGCTGCGGCGCAACACTTGCTCCGCACCGTGCTGCCTTCCCAATCGGCGGCGTACGCGGAAGCACATGACCATGCGGTCTGGGGCACACTGCAAGCGCTCCTCGGCGAGCTTTTCTTCCCGCACGAGGGCGGCCTTGGTCTCTTGTGTGCCACACGCGCTGCGCCTGCCGCCTACTGGGCGGCCTGGGCCGATTCCTTGCCGGTCATGCTCCAGCGTCGCCCTGATGCGGCGGAGCGATGTGTGCGGGAGCTCCTCGTAGACGACGAAGCTGCCGCCCCTTGCCTTCGCGAGGCGGCCGTCGCTGGCGACATCCTTGCGCGCGCGGCCCCTCCCGCTGTAGCGGATGACAGTGAACCAGGCGATTGGCCGCATGGTTGGCAGCTTCTCGCGTCTCGCGCACTCAACTCCCATTTTCGCAAGACCGAGCTTCTGCCACACATGCGGCCGAGCGACCGCGCTTGTCTCCGCTCGCAGTCTGGCCCGCATGCGGGGGCTTGGCTTGCGGCTGTGCCGACTGACCCGGGCACCACGCTGCCCCCGGCGCACATGCACGTCGCCTTGCGCAGGCGCCTGCGCCTCGCGCTGCCCCTCACGCACCGGTATTGCGGAGGCGATGGGTTCCCGGGGTGCGGCGCCGCGCTCGATGTCTTGGGCGACCATGCGGCAGCGTGCTCGCGCAGCGGGCTGTTGGCCCGCCGCGCCCCCTTGCTTGAACAAGCGTGGGTCCGCGTCGCGCGTGAAGGTCTGGGACCCGAGGGCAGGGTTGTCCCTCAGCAGTGGTTGGCCAACACTTCTGCGCCAGGCGTCAGCGCGCAGGACAGGCGCCGCCTGGATCTTGTTCTTTACGGCGCCACGCGCTTGGGCGAAGCGCTGTGCTGCGACGCCACGCTCGTTGCTCCGCTCCGTCGCGACGGCCGACCGCAGCCACGCGCGGCCGAGGAGGACGGCGCAGCCATTGCGGTAGCGCGGCGCCGCAAGGAGGCGCGGTACCCGGAGCTTTGCCGGCCTGGCCCGCAGCGGCTGGTCGTTCTTGCTTGTGAAACGGGCGGGCGGTGGGGCCCCGAGGCGTGCGGCTTAGTTGATCGCTTGGTGCGCCTCCGGGCACTCCGCGCGCCTCCAGCCGTCCGCCGCGCGGCCGAGGCGGGTTGGCGCCGCAGGTGGTGGGCACTGCTCAGCGCCGCCTTGCAGCGCGCCCTCGCTTCCACTCTGCTTGGAGGACGTTGGCTTTCCCTCGCGCGGCCGGCTGCGCAAGGAGCCCGACCTCGCCGATTTGCTTGGTTTGGCTGGCCCGTCCGGGCCCAGCCTTCTGCCTTTGCGCGGCTAGTCGCCACGTCGGCGCGCGCGCTTCGTTCGCCTTTCTCGGCGGCCGTTTCGGGTGGGGGGGGTTGAGGGTTCCCTGAGTCTCACTGCCGCTGGACGGAAAAAAAGGGGAGCCCATGAATCCGCATGAAGAAGTAGAATGTGAGGAGAGTTACGGGTACACAGCGGACGGTGGTGTCGACAGAACACCGATGACTGATCCGGAGGAGGTGCCCGGACAACGTGTCACGGCGGGCCATGCTGGAGGCGCTGCGCGCCGTTCCCGGGGCTAACCGTCGTCCGTTTGTTCTACGCCTCTGCGTCTGAGTTCGTGTGGCATGACTCTGAAGGCACAGCCCATACCATTTCGCAGCGTCGGCGCTGGATGGCCGCCCGGTGCCACACCAAGAAGCCCGCCTGCTCCAGTCTGTCCAGGCTGCTGGGCGCGAGTTGCCCGCTGCCACCTCGGTGTTCTTTCGGTGGGCGCTGTCCCTCGAACAGCCCTGCCTCTGCGCGGATGTCCTTGCAGCCTGAAAAGTTGTGAAATCCGACCAGACGGCTCGGGGGACAAAACACAAAAACCGCAGAAACGGCAACAAGGCCCTTGCCCATTAATGAATCAATATTGCAAATTTATGAATCAATATTGACTCAATAATTCAAGAAATTTGCCGTTTTGTGCTTTTTTTCGGCTCAAAAGCTACGGGTGACAAGGGGTGACAAAAGGGTGACAAACTCGGCAGGTTGGCAAGGAGGTCTTCGGGAATTTGAGGAAATTGGCCGTTTAGCGCCCTTTGTCAGCCCGAAAGGCCCCGGTGACAAGGGGTCCAAGGCGCAGAGGGATACATCCCTGCCTCTGCTCAAGAAGGCCCGCGCGCCTTTACCCACACGCTTTCCTGCAACCCCTCCTTTCCTTTTCTCCGAAGCGTCCGTCATTGGGGGGTTTTAAAGAAGAAGGTGCAGAAAGAATCTTCGGGACATCCAAAGGAAGCCACGGCTAAAACAAGCTCGCACTCGCGGAGCGCAAGCAGGCCATCAAGACAGAGAAAGAGCGGACAAGGTGCATGGCTTGTCGACTGATCGGTTTCGGGGCAGGTTTTTGATCCCGAATGCCCGAAGACCGGCAGCGACGGCGGCTTGACAACGTACTGCTGTTGTGGGGCGGGCAGCAGATTCTGGCTCCCGTACTACAGTTGTACTTAAAAGTTGCGATTTTCCAGCCGGAGCTGTGTCCGCGTACTACGTTTGCACTTAAAAGTTGCAATTTCTGTCTAGAAAAGTTTCTCCGAGAGTAGCCGCGCAAACCACGCGACAACTTCCAAAGACCACTTCGCAAAGCAAATGCGCATGGTGCCACGGCGAGAGCGATCCTCGCAGAGGGTCGCGCGAGCATATTACCGATCCCCGCAGAGGGTTCATCCTGGAATGTCAAAATCGTCCCCAGTTTTTTGACCTCGACCACACGAATCTCCAGACAGGGCTCACAGATCAGAAATCGTAAAAAGTCCCCAATTTTTTGACCTCGACCACACGAATCTCCGCAGAGGGTCGCTCTCACAGATCAGAAATTGTAAAGAATCCTGAATTTTTTGACCTCGACCACACGAATCTCCGCAGAGGGTTGCTCTCACAGATCAGAAATCGTAACAAGTCCTCAGTTTTTTGAGCTCGAGCTCACGAATCTCCGCAGAGGGTTGATTTTCGTAGAGTGCTGTCGGCCCTACCCCGTCGCCCTAAGAAGAGAAGAAAGGAATTTAAAACTCGTCATGAGTGAGAACTCTCATGAGCATTGCTCCTCGCCAGTGACTCTCACGAGCATTGATGATATCTCTTTGCAATGACTCTGATGATGATCACTCTTTGCAATGACTCTGATTATGATAACTCTTTGCAATGACTCTCATGATGATGATGACTCTGTGCAATGACTCTGATGATAACTCTTTGCAAAGACTCTCATGATGATAACTCCCATGAATTCAACGGAAAAACCATTCGCCATGCTTTCGGGAAAATGCCAGCTTGACGTCATCCGACAAGAGGATAAAGCACTAACGATATGCGTTGTTCACAGTGGCATACGGGCAGCAAGGAAAGAAGGGCAGTCGTGGGAGAATGCGCCAGAAGCGCGCGCGGATGAAGCGTCAGGCGGCGCGAGCCGGCCATTTTTGTGGCAAGGGTGACGTTCCCTGAAAGTGTGGAGGCTTTGGTGTCAACTGATGTCAGCAGTTGGCTTGCTCCGTGCAGCATTTGTCCCTTGTTCAGCTCTTGCAGCCAAGCGGTGCGACGTCGTCCACCCGAGCGCTGCCGGAGGCATCCACATGTCACTACAAGGTCGGTCTAGACGAAACCAAAATTGTATTTCGAGGCAGGATTGTTTTGACTGGCCAGGGTCATCTTTGCTGAAAGTTGCCGCGAGACGCGCACGCTCTGGCACTGGCCCACTTGCGGTCAGGCAGGGTTTTTTGAACAGTGTTTCACTGGATAACCTCTATCCTTTTGGTAGAAAAGGAAGAATGTGGTCCTACAAATCGTGAGTAGTTCGAAAATGGCTCTAAGCTCTCATGGTTCGAACCTTGTAAGCTCTTTGTATCCGTGTTGATTGCAGCGGAGGACATCTGGTAGCGCCCATTCACCCGCTTGTGTTGGAACTTCTGCCTTGGGACTAAGCTGCAAATTGACAGGACCAACTCTTTCTGGTGCCCCAAGAGAGAATCCTATGCTGGAGTGCAAGTTTCACTCCAAACCCGGGCTGAAGCAGAAGCCAGGCTGTCGCATTTCGATTTCGGACATGTGCATGTGACAGGAGTGCTGAAGCTTTGGGCTTACCTTGTATAGAAACGGGTCGCACCGCTGAGCGATGGGCATTGCCTTGTGCTGCCCTTAGTGTGGAACCGAGGAGAGCGGAGCACATTGAAGCACCAAGGATTTGACATCGTCGGCAGCATGTCCAGCCAGTATGCACAAGGGACCTTGATTTGGGTATCAAGCTCAGCATTGCATTTGCAAATGAGTGCCCGCGTGCGCGCGCGCGTGCGTGCGTGCGTGCGTGCGCGTGCGCGTGCGCGTGCGCGTGCGCGTGCGCGTGCGCGTGCGCGTGTGCGTGTGCGTGTGCGTGTGCGTGTGCGTGTGCGTGTGCGTGTGCGTGTGCGTGTGCGTGTGCGTGTGCGTGTGTGTGTGCGTGTGTGTGTGTGTGTGTGTGTGTGTGTGTGTGTGTGTGTGTGGGTGGGTGCGTGCGTGCGTGCGTGCGTGCGTGCGGGTGCGTGCGGGTGCGTGCGGGTGCGTGCGGGTGCGTGCGTGCGTGCGTGCGTGCGTGCGTGCGTGCGTGCGTGCGTGCGTGCGTGCGTGCGTGGGTGTGTGTGTGTGTGTGTGTGTGTGTGTGTGCGTGTGTAGTGCCACTCCTTAGGTGAAGCATGAGGAAGAAGTTTGGATACAGGCACGGCAGCTACTAGCACAGCTCATGGTCTCACGTTCGCGCAATATTGCGGGCACATTGAGGCTGAGATCATCACGGCCACTGAGAAGGCCTCATTGGATGTTGGCAGCCTGCTTTAGTCCGATGTCTACTTTAGTTCATGCTGTGTGAGATGAAACAAGCGTGCCTCATGGCAGAAATTCAGGGAATGACTGCTTCATGCTCAGCCCGCCAGGAGATCATTGTCAAAACAATAGAGGATCCGAACGCTCGAATCGTGCTGGGGCCAAACGAGCCAATCTTCCTCAGGCAAGGGACTCATTCTCTTGCACATCTCTCATCGATACTGAGATTTGTCGTGCTGCTGCAGGACCACAGATACATACACCTCAGAGGGCCTGTCTGTGCTAGATGATCTCACGCAGTCAGGGCCTCGCTAAGTGGTCTTTAGCCTTGCCAGATCATGATGCAAGGCTCACACACCTTCACGAACCTGCGGTGCTGAGCTCGCTGCAGTTGGGGCCCTTTCGCACGTCATGATGGTTCCACCCCCCCGTCTCCCCGGGTAGCGAGGTACAGAGTCTTCATGTGGGGGTTTCGGCCAAGACGGGGTCCGAGATTTTCAGAAGCACCCATATATATATATATATACATACCTCTGTAATGGCTTTACTTGCTGTGTCGAAGTTGGGGGGTGGACACCATCTGAGACTTGAGGGACAGCAGCGCTCTGTGGCTTTGGATTGAGGAATCGATTCGACATCGACAAGATCTATACCTTCACGGGGCCTATTCTTATTGTAGACATCTTGGTGCTGCAAACCTTGTGGCACTCGAGAGCCGCGAAAATGGTGAGTAACTTCCAGCTCAGGCGGTGAATCCTTTCAAAGTGATTCCTGGCATTTACGATGAAGAGGCAGCTTCGGGGCCGCATTTGCTCCCTCGGGGTGCTTCTTGACCAGCTTCCCGCAGCACCAGCCTATGAAGGCAGCACCGAGCGTCTTGTGGAGGTCTTGAAGAGCTTCATTAGCACAAAGCCTTCAACTAAGCCGTTGGCTCAGCGATCAGCTTGTTCCGACCGCTTGCGCGTATATTTCACTTCACTCCCGCTCTGGATTCTCTTTTTGTGTGGCCAAACAGCCCTTCGTCCAATGCCAGGCACTTGCAAGACACATTGGGCCAAACCATCCAGGTTTTCTCTTGGTTTCCCTTTTAACCCACCCAAGCAGGCTCCTCCATTGAGACAGACCTGTGTCCCTGGCAACACGAGGCCGCACGTTTTCAATACCTCCAATGCATCCTACCGCGGCATTTGCGATCGACACAAGTCACAGTGGGCGCCCCAGAATGGAGCATCGGAGTCCCTTCGATCGGTTTCTCGCGATTGAGCAAATGTTCTGCATGAGAAAACTTGAAATAACAAAGACTAGTTCGACCAATTAATTGATGAGATGAAGCTGCTGATGTGTTGTGTGCAACTGCCGATGATATCATCCCGGGATTCCCATTTTTGGAAGGATCTTACATCAGGCAAGGAAGTATATATATATATATATATATATATGTATCCATGTACCTTTTTACCCGTTTACCCTTCTACCCCTTTGGGTTTCAATGATGTTTTCTGTTTTTCCAGAACATGTTCGCGCCACAAGCTTTACAGCATGCGACTGCATGTCACCGCCCAAACTGGTGTAACGTGAGGACTGTGCTCATCAGTGGCGAGTCTGGCGCGGGGAAGACTGAGACCACCAAGTCAGTGCCTCAAGGTTGTACTCGTCCTTTGTTTGTTTGCAGCAAAGGAGTATACATCCCAAAAAAGGCCCAAAGGGAGATCCGTATGATGCTTTTGGTATGCATGTCGCCCCCCAGGTTTGTCATGAAGTTCCTGGCGCTAGCCGGATCCTCCGACGGCGAGGCCCAAACGCTTCAAACAAACATGGCCCCGATTTGGTCGGAACGCGCACGGCAGGTGACCGACGTCGAGCGCCAGGCAAAGTGAAAGCACGTCTCATGGAACCCCCGAACCCCCCGAAAAGGGGTCTGTCAACCTGAAAAAGGAAAAACGAGGGGTTTTGTGGCTTCCATGTTCATTTGCCGTGTTCTGTGGTGCAGTAGAATCTGCCAGAAATGAATCCGTTGCTGATCGCCAGCTCAATGCTGTAGGTGCTTGAGTCGAATCCATTGCTCGAAGCCTTTGGGAATGCAGTTGCCTCAGGCTTTCCAAAATCAGCTCAGAGGAGCAAGTGAACTTTGGAATGTAAGGCCAGAACTTTGCGGAATGACAATTCCAGCCGCTTTGGGAAGTTCATTGAGCTGCAGCTGGGCAGCCCAGACTTTACATCGAAATTTTGCTGATGTGCTTTGAGAGCAAAGTGCTGTGGAATACGTGGCATCAGGAGTGCACGGCAGCTACCAGCCATCATTTGACTTCAATTGCTGGTTGGATGAGGGGTATCAAACTGCCGGCAGTGATGCCACTTCTTACATTGTCAGCTGATCACGCTTTCGCTGTCTCACGCTGAAGGTTTCGTCCCGAAGCAAATACTGGCGTGAAAGGGGCCAGGCACTGAGGTCTGTGTGTGTGTGTGATTGCGCTTGTGCGTAGAGAGAGAGAGACAGAGAGAGAGAGAGAGAGAGACAGAGAGAGAGAGAGAGACAGAGAGAGAGAGAGAGAGAGAGAGCGAGAAAGACAGAAAGAGAGAAAGAGAGAAAGAGAGAAAGAGAGAAAGAGAGAAAGAGAGAAAGAGAGAAAGAGAGAAAGAGAGGGAAAGGTAAAAATGTGCCTTGCTAAATGCAAATGCACAAGAGCGCAACACCAGGCACACAAAGCACAAACACAAAGGAGGCAAAAACGCATGCTTGGGACTGAGGCCGTGCAGGGCATGGCGGGCGAGAGCTTACGACTTTGTGGCCGGGTCCTGTTCAGATTTCTCTGGTCCGACTCGGCAGTTCTTTTTGTTCACTGTTGTCTTTCTTGCTGCATCTAACTTCATGTGTTTGGAGATCCTACAATCACCTGGCGCATATGGGTATTTGTTTCAGATTGTGCCCTCCCCGCCTAGCAAGGCAATGCAAAATACCAGCTTCATTCACTCCAGCAGCGTATTGTTATTGGATTGTCACACATTCTTCTTCGCGAGTGTTACCACTCACTTTGCACTAGGTGCTCGCATTCGACACTACCTCCTGGAGAAAGTTCGGGTGTGCGAGCAGCAGGCCTTTGCATCAGCTAGCTTTGCTTCAGTTTCTGGGGCGTTTAGCGCCCTTGGCTTTGACCAGATGTTCTCCGCAGGGCTTAGAGGGTTCTTTGCGGGCCGTGTGGTTTGGCTGAAGGAAGGCGAGCGGAACTACCACATCTTCTACGAAGCTTGCACCTAGCTCACATGGGTTGCCCGTGGCAGATGAACATTGTTTTTGGAGAGAGTCACGCGCTCTTCTCTTTGGTAAGATGCGTAACATCGAGGGTTGCCATGCGAAGTGAGGTGCGGCCGCGGTCAAAGCTGGCGGGAAGGCCCTCGGGGCATTTCACTTCTGGGTTCCAACTGTTATGCGAGCGCAAAACTAGCCACAGCTTTGTTGCTGCCATTTCATCTTGTTATATTCCGCCTGTTTGCTTTTGCATAGTCGACTGCGTTTGAGTGGCCCGACCTGCCAGACGAAGGAGGATGGCTCTGATGCAACTGTGTTTTTTGTTTTTTTGTTTGCCCCTGCCTCTTTGTTTTGCTCTTCGCTTCTTGTTTGCGAGTCTTTTTCTCTGTTCTCTGTCCTTTTAGCTGTTTGGCGTTTGGTCTTTGTTCCATGGCTTCTTTCACCCCTTTCCCCTTCTTGAATTGCAGGAGTACTCCTTTCCGCAGATCTTGGCCAAGGAGAAGGCAAATCCCTGCTGCCTTGCAAAAACGGCCTGCGGTCATTTTAAAATCCAGCGCAATGGCCATATCTCGATCTGCGCAGGTCAGGGAGGAGATGATGGTTAGCTTGGAAGGCCAGCGCACGGGCGAGTGGCAGTCGGGGTTCGACCGACTTCTCCAATTGAGAGGCTTGCTCTGTTTTGCAGGATTCAGCGAATTGTCCAACTATGAATACCTCACTCGCTCGACGTGTAAGACTCTCAAGGACCAAAGATTAGCTGTTTGGCTTCGGATTGAGTTGTTCCATCGACTTTTGTGGCCTTTGCCTCAATCCAATATGCACGAAACTGGGAGGATGTCGATGATGTCGAGTTTTTTGAGCGGCGGATCAATGCCATGCTCACTATCGGTATCAAGAAGGAGGATATCACAGAGGCTCCGGCAAGCTATATCCCCAACCTCAAACATAATTGTCCATTTGTTGTTTTCACTTTTTTTGTGCGGCTTTTTTCCGAGGGATTCATGCAGACCTCAGCACATGGTTTCATGAAGAAAGACCAAGAGCTTTAGATTCCAACATGTGGGCGGCTGAAGCGCATCACTCGGCTTGCGAACACTGAGGTTTTCCACATGGTGGCGGCTGTTCTGAATGTGGGCAACACAAAATTCGATGTCTTCGCCTGAGTTACTTCTTGCCCCCCCCAATCCCGTATCTCGTGCGCTTGGTGCTTGTCCCGGGACGCGGAACGTTTGGCCCGAGGCACCGCCAAACAACAGCGAAGGCTCCAAGGTGATGCCCGCCTGCGGCCGAGAGATGTGAGGAACACTTGCAGGAATGATTCCCTCATATTCCCTCAGAACTTTTCCTGGCGCATTGGGGTGAGGGGGCGGGTTTCTCGCTTTTCCCTCAAGGATGGGATGTTGCAAGCAAAAGGCGCTTGGACTCAGGAATGTGCCGAGAAGTTTGGCATTGCCGAGAAGCTGTTGGGAGTGCAGCCAGGGGATCTTGCCTGAGAGGGAAGAGAGCTACATTGAGCAACTGAAAGTATTGTTGGTAGTCTACCGTGAGTTTGGGAAGGACACGCAAATTCAGAAAAGCCAAGGCATTGGATCGCACAGTTTGTTCACTTTGGAAAGCATGTAGCTTTTCTTGCTGGTTCTCAGCGGATGGGGGGATGACCCCCCAAAAACAATTGTCTGTGGTTCCTTCAAGGCGATCCATCTCCCAGCAGAGAGCCAACAAGTTGGGTGTGTCTCAGAATACGCCCGAGTTCCTGTTGGTTTTCCTCAAGTGAACTGGTAGTTTTGTCGGTATGTGTCAAAATCTGGGAAAGGGGTACTCTCAGCAGAAAGCATCATGCATATTCATATGTCAGTGGGTGTCTCAAAGTAGCGGACGCAACCAAGACAATTTTAAGATTGGGGTTTCTCAAAAAGTGGGGGAACCACAAAGTGGGTGGTTGCCATTTGTTGACCGATTGAAAGCCACCCAAACCTTGGTACCAAAGCAGGTCCCTATGTTTCCCTTTTTTGGGTGGTTTGTTTTGACCACTTTGGGGCCATAAAGCGAGTTTCCTTTTGGTGTGATGTTAGGGGATCCTGTGCAAGTTAGCTACCCTCAACAAAAACCAAGCCCAAAGCCAAGGTTTCTCTCATGTATTCGTTGGGGGGGGGGGGAAGCCCCCGTTGCCCCCCCCTTCCAAACGAAGACATGATACCCTGTCCGGCGGAGCGCGCCAAGGAGCTGGAAAAGGCGCTTTGCAACCAGACGCGGGTCACGCGCAGCGAGAGGATACGAAGCCCGGTGAATGTGCGACAGGCTTGGGGAAAATGGGGCCTCACCCGCACACCCTTCCTTGAACCCAACCTGGTTTTGCGCATGCTGGTTTTCCCAAGCAACCTTTTCTTATGAAGAGACCCGTTTGAGGGAGGAGCCGACCAAAGCGAGTGGCAGAGCTGCCAGCCTTTGGACATATGTGTGCCCTCGTCTGGATATTGCGGAACAGCAAACACCAAAGCACAAGCCGCTCTGACATTCTTCACACCGGCACACGCTGATTGGAACTAGAACGTGCAAGATGCTCCACACTCAGAAAAGTGCTTTTCCTTGTGGGGCAAAAGCTAAAGGTGGTGTCAGAGTAAGTTTGGTTGAGCTAAAGGCAGTGTGTCAGCTTCAGGCATCTGACAATCGGGATGCGCTGGCACGAGCCTTGTATGGCATTGTCTTCAACTTCATCGCTGCGCCCTGAGTTCGCAAGCTTCCCCCACACTGAAGAACCACAACACGCTGCTTTGATTGACACCTAGGTGCATAGCACAAATCTTTCCATCGGCTACATCGCAGATGTGAAGCTGTTTGTTGGACTGGGATTCGTGGGGCTGCATGGCAACAGTGTGTGGTGCGTGAAAACGTTCGTGAAAGGCCGGCGCTTGCAACCGCCTAGTATTTGGCGTTGGCGAAAGCTCCCATTCTCCGCTCCCAGCCACTTTGGCTTTCTGTGATCACGTTCCGGAGCCATTTCCTGGAACGCAAGCAGCCATAGATGGAGACGGCTCAGGGCGGTCCGTTTTTTGACCAAAATGTGGTCCCCAGTTGCCCGAAAACTTTGGAAACAATTAGCCGCGCTAGCTCGAATCCGCTACAGTGCTACGGGCACCGGGCCAGGAGTCCTGGACATCTTTGGGTTCGAATGCTTCAAGATGAATTCCTTCGAGCAGCTCCGGGCTCGGGAATTTCGTTTTCTGTTGTTCGAAGCCCCAAAAGCGCCGACACAGTGCGCGTGTGGCAGCTTTGTTTGCCGTGAGGTTGTGCATCAACTTCACCAACGAAAGGCGTGTTCTTGGTGGCATCTTTCAAGAGAGCACAGTCGCCGAGTCGCCGAGTCAGGGGATTGGAGCCTGGCAGGCTGCAGCAGTTCTTTAACTCCTTCGTCTTTAAGTTGGAGGAGCAGCTCTACGAGCGCTGAACCCAGTTTGAAAAAGCGTTTCCGCGCGTGAAGTTCTCCACGCCGGGTCGGATTTTTACATCCCAGCCTTCCCGGCGTGCAAGCCATGTCTTACCCCTGCACATTCACCAGAGGCCCGGTTCCCAAGCTATAGCTTCTGCAAGAACAGCGCCTTTTTGGGTTTGCATGCTAATCTGAGGAATGTGTTATTGTTGGCTGAAGGCGGGAAGGGATCCCTTGGGACGCGCTGGACTTCCCGGACAACCAGGCGCGTGCAAGCTGAAGGGCAATGCAGGGAGTGAAATGGGTGGGTGAAGGTGGGCTAGCCCCTCAAACGTGTAAACCTAAATGGAGATGCCTTGGCAGGACTCTGTGGATTTGCTGGCCGCCAAAGGCACGGGTGTCTTCGCAGGAGACCTAGAAGGGAGTTGTAAGTTTTCTTCAACAGCGACAGCCATCGTGTTTGAGCCGTATGCCGGTTCCAGGGAGGTTACGAAGTTGGAATCCAGGCGATGCTTGACGAAGAGTGCATCGTGCCGAACGGATCTGATCAAGGCCAGTGTTTGTTCCGACCTGGGGAAGCGCTTCTAACGCGCGCTTCCCGATCGCTCCTCATGCGCTCTCTCGGACCTTGTGCAAGCTCAACTTCGGGATTTGCCGAGCTTGGCCGAAGCTGCGTGTTGTCCAGCACGACTGTTTGTCACGCAAGTGCGGCACCCCTAACACTTTGCATGTTGCCCCACGAGCCATTCCAGCTGGAGGAAGGTGCCGAGAGCCACTCAAGGCTCAAAGGTGGCTCATAGGGTCTGAAGTTTGGCAGCGATTGAGAGGCGCGTCCAATGTGTGTACAAACCTTTGAATGGAAATGTGCCTTCCGTCCAGCCACCAGGCTACCATGGGACGCAAGAATCGCGATTCCTCTGAAAGCGAATCAAGCGACCGGCGCAAGGCACGAAGGGTTGGGACCTGTCAGCCATGTTTCACTGTCTGACATGCCGCATGGCAGGTTTGTTTGCCCGACTGGATTGTGCACCCCCTTGCCATTGCAGGACAAGAAAACGCGCAAGGACAAGAGGGAAGAAAAGGAGAAGGATGACAAGCGAAAGGTGGGTGGCATCCGAAACACAAGTAAGTCAGTGTTCTCGCAGTAGTGGGAATGTTGATGGTTTATGCTGCTAATGCTGGTGGCAATGCGTTCATTGAAGCCGTTTTCGGAACAAGTTAGCTTTTTTTGTTTGGGGTGAGGTGCCTTGACAACCGCGTTTGGGTTGTTTGTTGGTTTGGCGTGCTCATTGGACGCAGAACCTGTGAAGCTGTGATGGGTTGCTCACCCGAGCCTGGCCTGTGAATCCTGGCGTTGTATGCATGGTTCGTTGACCGCGTTGTTGAAATTGGGGAGGGGGGGCCGGGATGCATGCATGGCTGAAGGGTCCCTTTTCTTGGAACTTTTTGTAAAACGCTGCCAACTTCCCCCATGGTTCGTCGTCGCGCTATTGTTTCATAACCCTTCAGACAACCTACGCTGCGCCCAGGATTTGATTCCCCGATGCTCGCAACCCTTCTCTTCAAAACCTAGCAGTTTCCTTCACGGTTTCGATTTTCAGTCAAACTTCCCTCAAAATGGAGATGCTCCCAAAAAACCCTTCAGAAGACCCTGGAACGGGGGGGGGGGGGGTTAACCGCCCGCCAGGATCGGGACCGCCGGAGCCGCGGCCGCAGCAAGGAGCGGCGCAAGGAGCGGTCGGCGGAGCGCAAGCCCCCGCCCAAGCGAGGACGCCGGGAGCTGAGGATGAGCCAGTTTTCTGGTCGGGTGGGGGGACGGGCGGGGACGAAAATGGTGATTGCCAGGGAGGCATGCTTTGAGGGTGTTATGGGGGAGCCGAGTTAATTTGCGGAGGGATCAGCCCTGGTTGGAAGACCCTCACAAATGCCTGGTGCACATCAATCTCCATGGAAAGGAGGCCCACAAGAGAGCTTCCAACCAGCCAGACCAAAGGATACAAAGGATATGATAGTCCATCTTGAGGTTTGACTTTTTCTGTGTGTCAGGATCAAGTTTTCGGGCAGAAGCTGCAGAGCTGCAGGTTCAGAGTCGGACTCGGAGTCAAAGTCCTCAGATGATGAAGAGGCAGGGAATTGACGCGGCACGCTGCAGGTAGACGCAATCAGAGAGCCATTTTGTTTTAGTCATACTCTTTCTTGTGCCCTCGCGCAACTCAGCACACGGAGGACAATGCTGTTTCCCTTTTGGTAGGGAGTTATGTTGCTTGTTTTGAGACATTCCTCAGATTTGCATGGTCCTGTAGATTGATGCGAAGTTGGTTTATCCCACTTTGACACTTACAAGTGGTGCGTCAGGAGATGAAGGAGTTCCTTCTGAGTACAGACATGCCGGAGGAGCTTCTGAACATTTCAGGGTGTAACGGAACGGGGGGACATTCAGGGAGGAAATGCCTTCCCTAGTCCAAAATGTTGTGCGACAATTCTATTAAAGCATCCCAGGGAAATCCCATCTAATGTTTAATTTGCTGATGTTATAGAATTCCATTCACTACTCAGAATTCTTCAAAATGAAATACAGATGGGATGGAGAGAGAGGACAAGGTGGTCCACAGCCCGTTGCGTTCTTTTTGGGATTTGCGAGTGCGTACTTGCTTACGTGAATTCTTGGAGGATCAGATGCTGTCGAAGATGATGGGGTTCAGTGCTTTTGACAGTTCCCAGGGGAGGGACCACAGCCAAGCCCTCAGTGCAGCTGTTGAGGCCGTGGCCTGCCTTTCTGCCTGGCTCTGAAGTTTTCTAGGGAGCCCTCCAAATGGGTTGCCCACCGAAGGGCATATCCATGTTCGGCTGGCTAGACCTGCATGCGATTGTTTGCTCATCTAAACACCTGCTTGTCGGGCTGGAGGTAGCAGTGACCTCAGCGACGTCAAGCGAGCCACCAAGCGCACGGGACTAAGTGCGGGTGGAGGTTTCCATTTTGCTGACGTGCTCTTCCTCTAGATGTGCAAGCGTCGATGCGAGAACCTCAAGCCAGACAGTTTGCGCAGTTAATTGGCATAGAGGTGTTTCTTTTTGCAGGCTACTTTTTTTTTGGGGTCTAAAAAGACCCAAAGAAAACCACCCACTGTTGGGGTTTCGCATTAATCTGAGACAAACCCAGTTGGGCTTTTTGCCTTCGTTGAGGTCCGAGAGTTGCGACTTAGGCCAGTACAGACAGTACATGAACCGGCGTGGCGGTTTCAACCGCCCGTTGGATGCGGCATTCTGAGTCGCGAATGTCCTGGGCGCCCTGCGCCATTCAAAAAGTGTGCGGGTCAAGGCACACGGGGCAAAATTTGTTTATTTGGTGGCACGTAGTGAGGTCTCTTGTGGTGCCCGCGCATCTTGTTTGCCCTGAGTCACATACCGATATACCGTTCACCTCTTGCCGGACTGTATGGCGACCACGATGCAGGAACATGCGATGTCCGGCGCTGCTGAGCGAAAAGATAAAACAGGCTGATTCGTTCAGAGAGCAGCAGTTGCCTTCAGTGGCCGCGAGCGACAAGGGCCCGTCAAGCCCATGGTCATCATGAAGCCCCGCAAATGGCATTGCTAAGCAACCAGTCGCCCAAGCTGAAGAAACAGATTCTTGTTGGTTGGTGTCACATAAAGTGAAACGTGCCTGAAGTGGTGTGGCAGGCTTCTGCAACAAGCTGATCAAATCGCACAAGGGCTGCGCTCTTAGCACCAATTTGCCGGTGCCTAACCGTTCCTAGTTGTTGCCTGCAAGGCCACCGCAGGTTCGATGAGATCAAGACGAAGCCAACCTGGCGGCTTGGCGGAAGCCACACACCTGATCAATCGATGTGGAAAGAAGGCAGGCAGTATGAACAGTTCCTGTGGCAAGGCAATGAAGAGATATGAACAGTTCCTGTGGCTGGTTGAAGAATGCCGAACTGTTGTGCAAGCCATGCCAGTGGCTCCGATCGTATGCGTTGAGTTCCTCTGAGCCCATTCGGTCAGAGCTAAGGTTTGTCATCAAGCACTTTGCGCGCCCGTCACGTGAGCATTCGCTCCAGTCAGTGGACTCCAGCTTTCTATTGAAAGTCTCACTTTTCCAGTTTCTGGGGCCCTTTTGGGAAGAGCTTTGTTTTTGCAGTGGTAAGCACCAAGTCTGCACTTTTGTACCCAATCCACTAACAAAGTAAAAGTTTGGTTGCCCAAGAAGGCCCCTTCTGCACGGTGGATACATCAGTCACGGCAGGCTGGTCCGGTCAGCTACTGCACCGATTCCTTTTTGGACAAGAACCGCGATCAGCTCAGCAACGTGCAGCCGGCATGAATTTGTTTTCTAAATGCGGGGCGAGCATATGACCATTAGACTGGATCGGCTTGGTTCGAATTACTTCCAAAGTTTTGCTTTTCCTATGACGCCACATGAGGTTCGGCCAACATTTCCAGTTTACGACAATCTATTTAGAGTCAATGTTCGTTTGGTAGACACGTGGGACTTACTAACTTCCATAAAAGCCAGGCAGGGGACTCGCTAAGTTTCGCAAATGCTTCTTGGGGGAACAAGACATTTTAACTTTGACTATGTCTTGCGACTCGGCTCCCAGGTACGTCTCACAGTCTCACAGGAATCAGCTGGCAAACTTAGCAATTGCCTCAGCGAGTTCTCTGAAATATTGAAAAAAACAGAAGCTCCCTCGATCCCAGCTCGGTTAGAGAGCCTTCAGGCATTCACCAGGAAACAAGTCGGAGGTTTTCGCGGACTCAACCGCAAAGTCGCACCCAAGCACAGCGTTGGCTTCCCAGTAGGCTGGGGGCTTTGGCCGGGGCCTCCCGCGCGATGGGAAAGCGGGGCCGCAACAGCCGCGGCGCGAAGGAGAGCGGGATAGTTGGGATGCTGGGGCTGTGTGTGTGTGTGTGGGAACAACGTCCCTTCAGGGGCCCGGATGTTGATACTTCCACTTGCTATACTGGTTTAAAAGCAGCATAGCATTCTTTTGTACCCACCTGAGCAGGGCTAGGAATCAACAGGTTTGGTCGCTCACCTGCGTGCAGGAAGATGCTGCAGGTGATAGAGGTCCGAAGAAGGACAAGGGTACTTTTGTTGGTTTGCCGTGCTTTCCGTTTGTGGGTTTTGGCATGTTGGCAGGACGGTCAGGAGCCCAGGGAGAAGAAAAGGAAAGGCAGACGAGAAAGGGAGAAGGAAAAGGAGCGAGGAAAGGAGGAGAGCAACTTGGCTGTTGCGGTGTTTGGGGAGCATTGGGTTTTGCAGGTCTTTGTGTTTGTCTTTCGGTAGCCGAGGATTTTGGGGCGCAGGGTCACCTTGCCCTCGCAACGTGACGTTTCGCTTTGGCCCCTAAATTTTGGACCGCTTTTGCCCTCAAAAAGCCAGATCGTTCTTAGTCGGGGGCAAAAGTAATCAGCAATTTGTTTGGCCAGTAGACGTTCCAAGCGAGTGACAACGTGACTCTACAAGGCCCGTTCATGCATCGTGTCAGTGCGGCCGGGGGCCAAAAGTGACCCAAACATTGGAGGTGAAATTGATCCAGGCACTTTAGAATTGCGTGGGCCCAAAAAATCATTGGCTCGCTATTTCCCTCGAAGCCAGCTTCTGCACGTTTGCTCCACACGACTTTTCCCCAAATTTGTTTCTGTTGGACTTGTGCTTGTGTTCCGCGCAGCGCAGAAGCCATTGACAAGATGCTGACGCAGGAATAGAGGTCACACATTCTCCATGTAGGACACCGCAACAATCACAGTCTGGCCAGACAATTTGATGTTGGTGTTGTTTTCTCCGCAATAGGTTGCGCGCGTTTCCACGTTAGTGTTTAAATGGATCTTCTGGCAAAGGCGAAGCAAATGAATCCCATGCACTGCGCCGCTGTGTTAGCTGAAGCCACATTGAGAAAGCCCTGCAGATTCTAAGGTAGCCGCAGCATTCGCAGAGAAGGAGGTGTCTTCCATGTTAGAACCAGAACCCAAAAAAAAAACAGCTAAAGCACACTGCTTTTTTTCCTGCCCACCCTCATGTTAGAGTGCTTTTGCTCTGTGTGTTTCCATGTTTGTTGCCTTGCAAGCCTGGCAGGTGGTACGTTTTTCTACAGTGCAGGCCTAGATGGGGGGCTACGAACAAATTGGAGCGCGCTTCTTTTTCCCTTATCTTTCGCGTTCTTTTCCCTCTAGCTTTTTCTCCTCCTCCTCCTCCTCCTGCTCCTGCTCCTGCTCCTGCTCCTCCTCCTCCTCCTCTCCTCCTCCTCCTCCTCCTCCCCCCACTCCTCAGCTCCTGCTCCTGCTCCTGCTCCTGCTCCTGCTCCTGCGCCTGCGCCTGCGCCTGCTCCTGCTCCTGCTCCTGCTCCTGCTCCTGCTCCTGCTCCTGCTCCTGCTCCTGCTCCTGCTCCCTCCTGCTCCTGCCTCCTTTTGCTTCTCCTCCTCCTCCTGCTTCTCCTCCTCGTGCTCCCGCTCCTGCTCTGCTCTTCCTCCTTCTTGTCCTGCTCTTCCTCCTCCTCCTCATCCTCTTCCTTCTTTCTTTGTTTTCTCTTTCCCTTTCTGTGTCTTTGTCTCTTGAGGCAAGCCGACGCTCTCCATCGAGAAGGTGACACGGCAATTGGAGCCTTGGCCAAACTCGGCAGCACGGTGTGGCCTCAGCGTCTACGACTTGGTTCGCTTCCCATCTGGGCTTTGATGGTCATAGTAAGGGCTGGGCAAGAAACACAGCCACCTAAAAAACCGAGAAGCAATGGGTTTTGAGCGCTGCTCAAACAGGAGTCTAGGTTATTGAGAATAGACAGCGCCGAACCTTTCCCAAACAGTGTCTATTTTTGCTGGTGGGTTTCTTTCTCTTTTGTCAATGCCCCGGTGCAAACTTTCCTGTCTTCCAGCCAACTCAGCGGGTCAGTAGGGAACCCCTCTGAGGTTGCTTTATATACAGGGACAACCAAAAGAAGGCAACCGTTCCTTGGGGTGCCCCCGTTTTAGGAACACCCGCTTGCTGTAGTGCTTGCAGTAGATATTACCTACGTGGGCTTGGGCCTCATGATTCGGTTGCAGAGTGGCAGGAACTTGAAGGCATCAGGAGTTAGGATCTTATCCAATGCTGTCGCAAGATGATGGCACAACCACTACCTCCTTGGTAATGTATGGAAAGGGGGCGTGCCACTCTTTCAGGACCCTTTCCAGTCAATTTTCGCTTCGAGGTTGCGAGGGAAACAAACAACGGGAGGCGGGGCCCTCCCGTTTTTGCCACTGGCTGAGGGATGTTGCGCACATTCACTTGCGCTCTCTGAAATCCGCTAGGATTTCTACTTCAGTGACGCCAACCTGAAGCGAGATCGCATGTTGTCTCGCACAGTTGAGCAGAACGACGGGTATCTACTCCTTGAGACCTTGCTGACCTTCAACCGCATCAAGGCAACCAGACGAATAGCCGGGTATCTTTCCATTCCCTTGGATTTTCTCCGTCAACGTCTCAGCCTCCCGCACGAACCGCCTCAGGCCCTGGGCGTGACAGACAGAGGCCAGCTGGTTGAGGCCGCCGGCAAGTCTGAGATGCTCGAGCTGGACAGCGAGGCAACCAAAGTGAGGCGAGCACAAGGGAGCTGACTTGGTGGTTCGCAGGGAGTCAAAAGCGGTTTTTGTGGAAGATGCAGGTGCTGGGTAACTGTATGGGGAACCATTGGGAGTTCAGCAACCCAAGGAGTTCAGTATCATTCTTCTTAGGTGTATCATGCGTCCTCGGGATTCTCCGACAGACGACGGAAAGAGAGCCAGAGATTCCATGTGATTGAAAGGAGTGGGCTTCACTCGCCAGGCATTCGTCATCTCTTTTTCATCCTTGCTTTGAATCAATGGTCACTCATCCACTCTCTTCGCTCCCTAAGATTCAACATGAATTTCCTCCCTACATTCATTGGTAAGAACATGGCGGAGAGAGGAACGGGTGACAGGTGATTTAAGGGTCTTCTGGCCGTAGCAAACGGAGGAAGGTTCGGCTTATGTTTGGGGGGAACGCCCCGGCTCATGTTTGTTCAAGGACTTGTCTTGTTGGTTCACATACTGACGAGGACAGCTTGCTTGAGCTCAAGGGCTCTTTTGGATGGGCCAGCCATGAGATTGGCAACCAGCGGCCAGATGGGTGTGCGTCTTTTGGGGAACCACGCTTTTGCGGGGAAACCGAAAGGAAGGAACCGAACCTGCTTGGGGCGAGGAAGCTGAGCTCGTGGATCCCAAACAAGCCCACCACAAGTAGCCTGCCATTTTCCCTTGTGGTTTTCTACGGGGGGTTCCTTGCACCTATGACGCAGGGAACGGAATCACTGGGTCCTGGAGTATGGGTCAAGGGTAGCGGCAGGCGCGACTTTGAGAAGTTCCCACGGGGCACCTACGACGCAGTCGCCAGGACTGTCTACGTAGAAGGCGAGGCAGCGTGCCGTTGGGGTGGGAGCGACGGCTTTTGGGGTCCCAAGTAAACCAACCAGTCGTAAAGTCCGTAAGTTAGTGAGACGGAATTACTTACTTGGCCTTCTGTGGGTTTGTGGGCTTGCCCGTCAGGCTTGCCGCTGACCTTTGGCATAGATGACCTCACAAAGTACTTTTCGCGCTTTGGGCAGGCGTGAGACTGCGAGCAGCCAGCCGAGCTTCGAGGTTCCCAAGGGCTGGCAATATGGGACTGAAGCCGTCAATAAATCGGACAATGGCCCAACATCTGGCTAATTTAGACACATCTTTCGCCACAAGCGCCAAGTTGGCAAATTTGCATTGCCTTTATTTCTTGAATATTGTACGGATTTGGGCAACCCCAAAGGCATTTCTCCCCCATGCAGTTTCCTAGCATGTATGCACAATCATACATGGAGGGGCCCACTTTGCACGAGTTGGGGTGAAGCCTGCATTACTGGCCTTCAAAGCACACATTTGCGGGGGTCGGGGTGGGATGGCAAAGCACAAATTCCCAGGCTCCGAGAGTGCATGACGTGATCCATTTATTAATGGCGAGGTGAAGCTCATCGAGTTGCCCCACCACCGGGAGACTCAAGAGCCCCGGGGCTACTGCTTTGTGGAGCTTGCATCTTCCAAGGAGGGCGGCCGCCTGTTGCCTTGCTGGCCTTTACAGGTTGATGCAAAGGGAATTGAAAAAGAAAAGGAAGACCATAGTTCATTCTGGGTGATTCCCTATTTTGACACATACTGTGGGAATCGTGGGGCTGGAAGCCCTACATGCATTTTGCAGTTGTAGTGGCAAGGTCAAAGCATGGCAATGGTCACACGGCCCGCATGCAACAGACATGCAGTGGCAAACATCACCAAGCAGACAGCTTGAAACACGTTTCATCTTACCTTTGCTTTTGCGTCCGTGAAAATGGCCGCCAGTGCTTGGTAGCGGAGCTTGCTAGATGCCGTCCTGCGCAGAAAGCCTGCGGCTCTGGATCTGAGGGCGGAAAGTTGAAGCGGCCTACAGGGTCACGGAGGAGTCGCCTTTCTTCACGGTGGACGGTTGAGGAGCAATTCCGCATGGACCAGGACGGCTTTACGGAGGGCGCTCTGAGGAGGTGTGGGATGGGATGTGATTGAGCACAGCGCCGGTTACATGGCGAGCTCCACCCCGTGCCCGGCGGGCCGAGGCCGGCCATGGGTCTGGCCTCTGGCTCGGAGCTCGTCCAGCTCGTCGATGTTCTCAACCGCCCGCCCGCTCGGGGCAGCGAGGGCGTTGTCTTGTAGGAGCCGCTGCTGCTGGTTGAGCTGCAAGCTGTCGCCCGGAGCGGCAAAGCGGCCGGTGATATTGCTACTCAAAGTTTCTCAACTGCGCGGCTTGCAAGAATCGGGAGCTGCGCGCGATCTGCGACCACATCTGAAAAGGTGGCGCACCTTCTGTATTGATTGGGCAAGCGCAGAGGTGCCGTGCTGAAGAAGGGCAGCGCCAGGCAGTTTTGAGCCTGCTGCTCAACACTGGCCGCCCAAGTCTTGCAGCTACTTGCGAAAGGGTCAGCGACGCCTCATCACCGCTAGCGCCTCAATGGGAGAGGCAGGGCGGAGATGAGGATGATGAGGTGATTCGTCCCCAGCAACTATGCAGCCAGAATTAGTTTGCGCAGGCGGCTTCTTCGCCAACATCTCCAACTGGGCATCCCCAGCTTCAACCGGGTCATGGTCTGGATGAGCGACTGTGCACGCGCAGTCTGGCGACAGGCTTTTCGGGTCTGCAGCCGGGACCCGTGTTGTTCCTGTCTGGTGGCTGCCCAGCTTGCTTGGAGGCAGACCGGGCGAAGGTGGAGCAGAGAGCAACTTGTCATCGCACGAGGGCTAGGCGTTTGGAGGTGGCCTGGAACTCCAAGTCCGTGGCAGCGGTGATCATGGAAGGAGTTTTTTTTGCGAGTTCAGCAGCGGCGACCTGTACATGTACTACACGGAGGAGACGTCGGCGAGGTTGTCTATGAGGTCGAGGTGTCTTGGAATTTGGGATCTTGCAGCGGGTAAAAAGGACACCCTCGAGGGCCAGCGGCGGAAGGAGTTTGGTCGAGCAGAGGAGGCCCCTTGGAAAGCTTTGCGAAGGAAGTGGATGCTGGCGGAGGCTGGTGGTTTGCGACGATCTGCAGAAGGACCAGCAGTTCCACGTCTGCGGACAAACGGATGGCGATGAGGGACCTGACGCAGACCTGCGTCCAGTGGATTGACGGGGAGCAGATACGAAGGCGAACCGAGACAGGAGCGGTCTGAAAACGTTTCGTCGTGAAGGCCAACTCCGCCTGGTCAGACGGAGGCCAACAGGCAGAGCAAGGAACTGAAAGGAGCTCAGCGATCCCAGGAGGTCAGCAAATCCAAAGAAGGGCGGCCGAACATTCAGATGGCAGCCGGGGAAAAATAATGAGTGTGGAAATCATGGGACTGGAAGCCCCGCATGCATTTTGCAGTTGTGAAACACGTTTCATCTCACCTTAGTTTTTCAAAGGGCCGCCAGTGCGCGACTGAAGCAAGCGTATCATTTAGCGTTGTATTGGCTTTGAATACGTGGGCGAGCTTAACATTGGAGCATCCCCGTCCACTTCAAGAAAGCTAGAGTCGGGCCAGGCTGTTAGGGCCCACATGAAGCCTGCGCTTTTGCCAGGAAGCCGAAGACGTGCTCTCTGAATGCAACAACCGGTGGCCCTCAAGCTGGCCACAACGGTTTGATGGCAAGACCTTGCGGGTCATGCGCAAGGCTGACTGGCATCAACAGTGCAGTTCCTTGGCAGATGTCTCGCACATAGGAAAGATCTTCGTTTTTAAACAAAACTCCGAAAGGGCACCACACAAAAACAACACACCATTATCCGTGTTTCTTTGGTAGACCCGCCCAAACCACCGGTCTCCTCGGTGCTACGAGGAGAGTACAAGGAGAGGCACGCAGCCTCCCGCGGGCCCAAGGAGCCTGAGCAAATCTTCCGGCCGCCGCCGCCGAAGCCAAAGGCGGTCCCCGGCTGCGTGGTAGCCGTGCGAGACTTGGACGAGGACGCAGAGCCTTCTACACGTTTTCGGTTGGGGGGTGGGGGGGGGTTGGACTAGAGTTCAATCAATTTCGTCCCTTTTTTCAGGTGGTCTGAACTATTTCAATCAGATTCGCGGCTATGATGTGGTCTTGACGGCCAATGGTTGATAGAGGTGCCTTTTTGAGGGATTTTTGAGCCCCGGAGGACTGCACGCGCATGAGCGTGCGGCACTTTGCGGAGCATGCTGTGGCAGTGGAGTACTGCGACTACCTGCCCGGTGCTTCCGAGGCGCATTTGAGGCGGGGCGTCGAAAACGGAATTTTGCAAGTGGCCTAAGCAGAACCCATGGTAGCAGGTTTCCAACGATTTCCCGCAGCCCTTGGTAGTGGTTTAGGCAAACCATGATTGCACACATGGACCACATGGAGGTGGTTTTGACCTCACCCGTTGAGACCCGTGAGGCTGAAGAGCCCTGAGGATTGCACAAGGCTCCTCGAGGACATGAGGCTGACTGGCAGGATGCTGGGGGGTCAGTTGCCGAAGGTGGAAGTGCTCTCGCCGGAGGAAGAGGCAAAGTATTGGGAACAGGTCCAGGAACGCAAAAGTGATCCTGAGGCCGACAAGTCGCACGCATTGCTTCGGGCTGCGTCTGGCATCCGCGAGCGAGATATGAAGATCTCCAGAATACGCCGGTGGAAGCCCGTGGCGTCGGCATCTGGGCTGAAGTTCAGGCAGAGCTTCATCGACACTGCCGGGGGCAGCGCGGACTTTGTGGCTCCGGGGTTCGGGAAGCATCGCCGTCCTAAGCGGGCGCCCAAGGTCATTCCGCCCAGGAAGCCGGATGAGGTTCCCAAGAAGCGGAAGGAGGCCAACCCGTTCCCGGCGGTACCACCCCCGAGCCCCTTCCAATTGCCGGGCACCACCCGGCCCAAGAAGCGGGGCGAGCGGTTCGCTTTGCCCCCGGCCAGCCCAGCCATGCCGCCGCCCAGCCCGGCCGGGGGTTTGTCACCGGAGTCCCCAGAGCTCGCCCGCGCCCGGTCCCCAGAGTCAGACAAGCCCTCGGACGCCAACTCCCCCGACATGTCGGCAGACCGAAAGCCAGACAGCAGCGGAGACGAGGCCAGTGAGCCTCAGGAGGATGCAGATTCGCTGTTGGACCAGGCAGACCTGATCGTGAGCATGATGGAGGACTTCAATTGATACCTCGGCGCAGATGGATGGGCGCTTTTCAAGTGCGCACAGGTTCCAGCCAAAGCAAGCAGGTTCGGCAGTGGCGGTTTGAGATGGAAAAACAAGCGCGGTGTTGCCGGCATTTGTCACTCTATGCCTGGCACGAACTTGATGTGCTTGATGTGTTCCGAGTTGTCTAACAAGAGCGTTGCAGGTTGTCAGGTTGGCAAATGTCGTAGCATTCAGTTGCATCGAGCCAGGATTTGTTGGAGTGCATAGGCAACAGCTCCAACCAGTTGGGGCCTTGGACACATAGCACGGCTCCAGTCTTTGCATTTGGCGCGCTGTGCAATGAAAGGAGGGCCGGAGCACCAGATTTCCGAGGTTCATTGCCGGCCTCTTCAAGAGCGATCCAAAGTTTGCGGAAGCTTACGCCCCCAAAGACGAGGCGTGTGGGGAGGGACTGGCACTAGCATGTGCTGGGCTGGGACTGGCAAAGTGTTCTGCGGTAGGTGCAGGAGGAGGTTGTTACAATCGCCTTGTCAGCCACGTGACCAGGGCGTTTGCTGCTTGCAAGCCCGCTGCTCTGTGGCTCAGTAGAGGGTGTGGGGAAGCGTTTGGCCATTGGATACCTTTCCGCGCGCCATGCAGGTGCAGCGGGTGGCCAATAAGATTACCAAATCCTACTTGATGGACCCGTATGCAATGCTGATGCATTACAAGCGGGCTTTCAAGTTGATGAAGGAGATGAAGCACAACTCTGCCAAGGTCCTAATCCTGGGACATAAGAATCAGTTTGGAATTGACTGGAAAGGGCGCTTCGAGGGAATGGAGTTCGACACCGGCACAGTGGACGAAAAGCTGATCTCCAGCGCGCCGAAGCACTACCAAATGATTTTGTGCTTGGATCCTGTGTTGTACTGCCGCTCCTTGTATCGCATCAACCTGCCAGTGATGATGTGTGCCACCCTCCGGGAGATCACAGAACACCCGGAGATTCTAGATGTTACAGATTACCTGCTGCCCTCGCCTACCCGGCGCCATGATGCGGCGCTTCGAGAGTTGGTAGCCAGAAGCATAGACTCAGGCGGCTCTGGCTAGCTTGAGCTCCAATACTGCTCTGTAATGCTTCGTCTCACCTGGAAAGGAACGCGCCTGGCGTATGAAAAAGCCAAAGAGCAACACTCATCCGCCGCACTTTCGGCCACAATCGAAAACACAGTTTTGGGGCGGGGGTGACCCCTGCACTTCCATTGTTTAGTCCCCTGGAAAAGGCTGCCAACACGCGCATGTCTTTGGCATTGTGCGCTCGCGTCAGGAGCAGCCAAAGAGCAAAAAGAAGAAGTACACGGCGGGCTGAGTCCCTGACAGTTTGGAGCGGGCCGGCGATCGTTGTTTTTTTGTTTGTGCCCAAATTAAGCCTGCCACTCTATTTTGGGGATGCCTTATTGTAAGACAAGTCACGGCGGGTCACAGATTCCAAAGCCAGCTTTTGGCAGGTCTCATCGGAGTTCAAAGACCAGCTATCGAGCCTGATGGCAGCGATCTCGGGAATTCCTTGCATTAGATGAGCTTCACCGGTTCTTGGCTGGCGGCCGGCTTTTGTGGTGGCAACCCTGGCAGCTGTTGGATTTCCAAGCATCCAGCAGAGGTTGGAGCACCTTTTGGAAGTCTGGGGATCAACATGCCAGGTTAGGAATATTCATTGGGGTTTATTCACCGTGCGCATTTGGTTTTCATGAGGATGTTGTGGACCTGACTGAGCCCCACTTCATCAGATGCAGCTTGCCAGCAAGCCTCGTGGGGCTGGACGCGTGTGAAGCATTGCCCTCCAGGTATCAAGCCGAATCCACAGAACATGCCTGACCTCTTTGACCGCAAGGCCTGCAGAAATCTCTATCTTATTCATTCTGCGACGTGGGCACAGAGGCCCCCCACTGAATGGAGTGACAAAGCGGGGCTTGCTGAACTGAGGGCGTCACGGAGCAGCTGCGCTATGGCGGCGTGCTGCAGGTGGTTCAGGTGAGCCAGGAGCTGAGAAATTGAGCTGTGAGTTGTTTTGGCCCAGCTGGTGCTGCCCTTTGGCTTGGATTGGTGTACTCTTTCGTGGGATGGGAATCCCTTATTGTGAAGAAACAGGAAACCACCCCTGCGAACCACCAATCCAAACCGCCAATTAAGAGGGAGGCTATCTGGACAGGTGTAGAATGTCACGCGAAATTGCAACCTTGATTGTTAAGGTTATCAAGCTCACTTAAGACCGCTCATGTTAAGTAGCAAGAACTCCAACCCCAGTTTCTGCCGCCCGCGAGGTAAAGGCCAATTTCCTGTGCCCATGAATTAATTGCTTTAAATGGGTTTGGGGTTGCGCTCCCCAGTTCCTTTTGAAACCAAACTAAGAAGGTACCACAAGGTGATGCCTGGTGGTGGCCGTTGAAAGCACATGGGCGGGGGGGGGGGCATCCTGTCTTGTTAACGCCAAACTGCGGGTGGGTGGGCGGAGCAAAGTTCTGCTTCAAATGAAAAAGGCCAAACCTTGGGCGTCGCTCTCAGGCCGAGCCGGCTACCCTGTGCGCATGAACCACCAGGCTGTTCTGAGCTGGGCAGGGCTTCGACAAGGCTCGGGTTGTGACAGGACTGCTGGGACGACTACAAGGTCATTGGGTCTCAGAAGGTGGTCTCCGAGCTCAGGCACCTGCAGGACTGAGGTCTCTCTCGAGACGCTTTTGACCAAGCCAAAAATGCCAGAGGTCCATGGACTTTGTCTCAGGGAACCCCCAAATTGGTGGTTTCCTTGGGCCCACCTCTTTGCGCCAGGATGCGAAAATTCGCGCTTGACCCTCGGGGCTTGCAGCTCCCCATTGCTGTAAATTTGCTTGCTGCCTTGGGCCATCCACGTGTGCGCGCAGAGGGTCGGGCGGTGCTTGCATGTCAAGAAGTGAGCAGTGCGATCCAGTACAGGCGCCAGGCCCCCTGGTGGAAGGGTTTTGAGCGTCGCCCTGGCTTCATTAGTAGGTCAATCTTGTGCTTCCCTCAAGTGGCTGGATAATTTTAGACGCCGCTTCAGGACGAATGGGTATCCATAAGTAGCATGTCCATCAAAGGGTCCCAATTAGAAATCATACTGAGGTGGAGGAAGCCCCCTCCTTTCTCCCCAAGCGTAAGGCCCAGAAGCTCTTGGACCACCTGGACAAGGAGCTGAACCTCCCAAAGCCAAAGTGGGGGGTCCGAGTGGACGGAGCCTTGTCCCTGGGGAGAAGTATGGCAGATGCGCAAGCCCAAAAACGTTGGGGGGGTCGTGAGCTTGGTGAAGACGCTTTCGCGGAGTGGCTCGGCTTTGGCCGGGCCCTTCTGCCGGCCGAGGCACGGCCAGTCTTGGGCCGTGGGAAAGACGATGGTCTTCTTCAAGCTTCCCGCCTTCGTGCCTGGACAGCGATAGTTGCAGCAGCCAGTCGTTTCGACGAGTTCTCCTCATGCTTGCTCACCTCTCAGTCAGTGCAAAATGGGGGGGAGGGGGGGTTGGCACGGTACAGAGATGCCAGGTGCGTCATGGTCAAGACACTCTTTTGCCCGGGTTGGGTGTCATGTCACCTTACCTTGGCCAGGTGTTTTCGGAGAACCGAAGTGGTTGTGGTCACATTGTGGTCCAGGGATTTGATGGTGAACGCTTTGATCTTTGGCAGTCCTTTCAAGCCCTCCTCTTTAGACAGCTGGAGTAAGGGTTCCAATTTGAAACTCGATAAGACAATTTTCCTTGTGGGCTTCACCCCCTGTGCGGGGTTCGATGTTTGGTCGCCCTGGAGACGAACGTGGAATCTCCAGGCACGGTCGGCAACGGAATTTCCTTTGAGGACAGGACCCCTCTGCTGACTCTACGTGCCACTCCCGCGCCACTCCCGCGGCGCTCGCTCCCGGCCTAAGGAGCGCATCAAGTTCGCTCGCCCGGGTCCCGGGGCCACTCTTTTCTCAAACCAGCGTTGGCGGGCGCAAAATTCTTCCGGCTGATTTCTATCATTTTCCCCAGACATATTTCTATGATTTTCCCGTCTGTTTCAAGACAAGGAACAGTTTATACTTTATGCGGGGGGTCTAGGCCCAGTTCCGTCCAGCATAGCTGTGGGGATAACTTAGGCTCTTCAAGGGTGGTCGTACCACGTAACTTGTGGCCCTGATTTTCGGAGGACATGCTTGGAGGTACGACTTCTGAACCTTTGAATAATCCCTAAAGCTTGATGCCTTTATCCCATGCAACCGCATTAGACAGTTCCACAAAGATGGCGGCTTGTTAAAATGGCTCTTAGTTTTTCGGACAGTTCTTTCTTGGACCGCTTTTGAATCATTCTCCACAGGCTCACTTAACAGAGAGGCACCTCGAAGCAGGCCCATTCTGTGCCGCCTTGGCAATGTTTGTTTTGTTGTTGTTGGGTCTCGAATGGATGAAAGAGAGACGCATCCAGGCATCAACCGACTGCGAGCTACTGGGAACCCATGTGGAACATGTTAGTTGATAGAGGGGGGCTTTCCGCTAAATTTTTGAGGTCACTTTTGAGGGAACGCCTCCGCCACCCGACAACCCACCAGGGTGATTAATCAGATCTTTCGTTGGTGACTGGTGAGGCTTCAACTGCCCAGGCAGCGGAAGTTCAAGAGAGACCCTTTTGTATCAGTCGCGTGGCATGTTGCGTGCTCGAAGAAAAGCAGTCGCCGGTCAAACATCTTGACAAAAGACCTAGCAAGCAGCAGCAGCATTTTGATGTTTACGACACAATGGGACTGAATTTAAGGGGGAACCCCCTCAAGCATGGTTGGTGGACACAACTTCCCCCAGAAGTCTCCCGAAGACGATGGAAGCTTGAGCCAGACAAAATGCGCCACCCTAAAGCCTGTCAACACCTCAACCGCCCGAGTGACAAGCTGTGAACATGCACGTGATAGCTTCACCCCAGCGACAGCTTCACCCCAGGGCCTCACGGAGACGTGGTAAAAGAACTTGGGCCGTGCGCTTCTTTGAAACCATTTTGGGGGAGGGCTTCATTTCGGGAGGTCCCTTTGGCAAGCGTGGGGCGCTATGACATGGCCGAAGCTGCTGACTTGCTGTCTGCGGTGCAGCGCTTCCATCGGCTTTGGTTCCCCGACGCAGCGCAGCCAGATGCGGTCCAGGGCTTTTGGTTCGGCGCCAAGCGGCCAAGGGACCGCAAGTTGTTCAGGTCGGGTCCTCGAATGTGAAAGTTTCGTTCTACAAACTGGGGCTTTGGGGCTATTCACGAGCCATGGCTAGCCGTTTTTTGAGTAGCCAGGTCCCTGCACGACCAGTTCTACGAGCCACTGCAAAGAGCGGAGCAGTTGTTTCAAGAGCGGGCGGAGGTGCTCTTGACACTTCCGGTGGGCTCGCAGCTATTGGTGGCTATCTTCTTGGATCAGCAACCTTCCTGAGTTGGCAAACTCAAACAACTTGTCTTTTTGGTTGACCGGTTTCTTCATTTGAGTCAAAGATCGGCGGTTTTTTCGTCAGGCAGTGCCGGAACGAGCGTGCCCTGCGGCCTCCGGATGCTGAGCAAATCGAGGCCATGATCACGAGCTGCTCGGCCTTCGCCCGGCAGCTCGCGGAGAGAGTCATGTCGTGCGCAGGTCGGTGGGGGCGGCGGTGCAAATGCATGGCAGTTTCAGTTCGGGACCGGGTCCTTGTTGCGTTTCTTCCATGGGTTGTTTCCTGTTTTGACAGCCAAATGCAAGGGTGCGCATCGCAAATCCTCGCTCCACAGAGCATGACTTTTGCGAGAGGCAGCGCCGACATCCAGCTTGCCACAGGCGCTTCGCGGGCGCAGCTTTGCTTCTTTACGCTGGTACTACGCCACACGCGACGCCTCCCAGACGTGTGGCCTGTCGCGCAGCCGGGGTCTGGGACGGTTCGGAACGAAGTGTGCGTGTCAACTCAGTCTTCTTAGCCCCGGTTCCCATTGACTCTTCCGCTCTCCCGTCTCAGTCCCGAGGCGCGCGGCACAGCGTCTCCTGGAGAGCCTGGCGCCTTGCGAGGTGGTCACCGCCTTTCGGCGCCACAACGGGGCGGTGCTGCAGCAGCTGGAGTCCCAGGCGTGCCTTGGCCGGAAGGGCCACCCAACCTGGCAACGGTTTCCCGTCGCGCCTTGAGCCAACCCGAAGTTGGGTTTCTGTCTTTTTGTAAGCTCCCAAAATGGATTCCTCTTTTTTTTCCCGAAAGCATCGCGAAGGGTTCTTCCGTGCGGAGCCCTTGGACAAGTTACATAGAGCCAAGTGACATAGAGCCAAGTTACATAGAGCCAAGTTACATAGAGCCAAGTTACATAGAGCCAAGTTACATAGAGCCAAGTTACATAGAGCCAAGTTACATAGAGCCAAGTTACATAGAGCCAAGTTACATAGAGCCAAGTTACATAGAGCCAAGTTACATAGAGCCAAGTTACATAGAGCCAAGTTACATAGAGCCAAGTTACATAGAGCCAAGTTACATAGAGCCAAGTTACATAGAGCCAAGTTACATAGAGCCAAGTTACATAGAGCCAAGTTACATAGAGCCAAGTTACATAGAGCCAAGTTACATAGAGCCAAGTTACATAGAGCCAAGTTACATAGAGCCAAGTTACATAGAGCCAAGTTACATAGAGCCAAGTTACATAGAGCCAAGTTACATAGAGCCAAGTTACATAGAGCCAACATAGAGCCAAGTTACATAGAGCCAAGTTACATAGAGCCAAGTTACATAGAGCCAAGTTACATAGAGCCAAGTTACATAGAGCCAAGTTACATAGAGCCAAGTTAGAGCCAAGTTAGCCAATAGAGCCAAGTTAGCCAATAGAGCCAAGTTACATAGAGCCAAGTTACATAGAGCCAAGGTTAGGTAGAGCTTAGAGCTTCGGCGTTAGCAGCTATGTAAGTTAGTTTAGGTTTCTAAGGCGCCGGGGCGGGAGTTTGATCGTCGCTCGGGATTGCGACCCTCTGCGGAGATTCGCGTGGTCGAGGTTCAAAAACTGTGGACTTTTTTTTCGATTTTTAGCATGCGCGCGCGACCCTCTGCGGAGATTCGCGTGGTCGAGGTTCAAAAACTGAGGACTTTTTACGATTTCTGCGGTGCGCGCGCGACCCTCTGTGCGGAGATTCGCGTGGTCGAGGGTCAAAAACTGTGGACTTTTTACGATTTCTGCGGTGCGCGCGCGACCCTCTGCGGAGATTCGCGTGGTCGAGGTTCAAAAACTGAGGACTTTTTACGATTTCTGCTGGCCGCGCGCGACCCTCTGCGGAGATTCGCGTGGTCGAGGTTCAAAACCTGAGGACTTTTTACGATTTCTGCGGTGCGCGCGCGACCCTCTGCGGAGATCGTGCGCGTCGAAGCGCTTCGCTGTGGCGCCGTGCGAATTTGTCTTAGTCTCGGCGAACCCTCTGCGGAGATTGTGCGTGTCGAAGTGCTCTCGCTGTGGCGCCGTGCAATATTCTTGCTCGCGAAACGGCCTTTGGAAGTTGTCTCGTGGTTTGCGCGCCTGCTTTCGCAATCCCGCGGTCGCGGGTTCGATTCCCCCCTGGTCCGCGGCAGCTCCGGCTTGAAAATCGCAGCTTTTAAGTACAAACGTAGTACGCGGAGCGTGCTCCTGCAGTTCCGGCTGGAAAATCGTAACTTTTAAGTACAGACGTAGTGTGCGGAGCATGCTCCCGCAGCTCAGGCTGGAAAATCGCAACTTTTAGGTGCAAACGTAGTACGCGGAGCACACCCCCGCAGCTCCGAACGTAGTACGCGGAGCGTGCTCCTGCAGCTCCGGTCGGAAAATCGCAATTTTTAAGTACAACGTAGTACGCGGAGCACATTCCCGCAGCTCCGGCTGGACAATCGCAACTTTTAAGTACAAAAATAGTGCGCGAAGTACATTCCCACAGCTCCGGCAGCACTTGCGCAGAGCAACTTGCGCACAGTCACTTGCACAGAGCAACTTGCGCTCTGCGAATTGCACAGAGCACTTGCACACAGCACTTGCGCAGAGCAACTTGCACAGACCAACTTGCACAGAGCACATGCGCAAAGCGCTCGCACGGAGCAACTGGCGCAGAGCACTTGCGCAGAGCAACTTGCTCAGAGCACTTGCGCAGAGCAACCTGCACAGAGCACTTGCGTGCAGCAGCGTGCAGAGAGCAACTTGCCCGAAAGCAGCCTGGAACAATGCAGCTTGCGCAGACCACTTTCGTGAGAAATCATGCAGCGCAACTTGAGCAAATCACATTGCGCTGAGCAGACTCGCGCAGAGCCACGCTTTATAGAGCCAAGTTGCGCAGAGCCACTCGCGTAAAGTAGCTTGCGCGCGCCAGGTAGCAGCGCGCCAAGTCGCGCAGAGCCATCTTGTGCAGAGCTAAGTTACACGAGCCTGCTTTGCAGAAACATACGCCTACATGACATAGCGATTTTTGTGTCCGACTCGGGCAGGAGCCGGTTGCTATTGGCTTGTTTTCCCGAAAGCATCGCGAAGGGTTCTTCCGTGCGGAGCCCTTGGACAAGCCAAGTTACATAGAGCCAAGTTACATAGAGCCAAGTTACATAGAGCCAAGTTACATAGAGCCAAGTTACATAGAGCCAAGTTACATAGAGCCAAGTTACATAGAGCCAAGTTACATAGAGCCAAGTTACATAGAGCCAAGTTACATAGAGCCAAGTTACATAGAGCCAAGTTACATAGAGCCAAGTTACATAGAGCCAAGTTACATAGAGCCAAGTTACATAGAGCCAAGTTACATAGAGCCAAGTTACATAGAGCCAAGTTACATAGAGCCAAGTTACATAGACAAGTTACATAGAGCCAAGTTACATAGAGCCAAGTTACATAGAGCCAAGTTACATAGAGCCAAGTTACATAGAGCCAAGTTACATAGAGCCAAGTTACATAGAGCCAAGTTACATAGAGCCAAGTTACATAGAGCCAAGTTACATAGAGCCAAGGTTAGGTAGAGCTTAGAGCTTCGGCGTTAGCAGCTATGTAAGTTAGTTTAGGTTTCTAAGGCGCCGGGGCGGGAGTTTGATCGTCGCTGGGGATTCCGACCCTCTGCGGAGATTCGTGTGGTCGAGGTTCAAAAACTGAGGACTTTTTACGATTTCTGCGGCGCGCGCGCGACCCTCTGCGGAGATTCGCGTGGTGGAGGTTCAAAAACTGAGGACTTTTACGATTTCTGCGGTGCGCGCGCGACCCTCTGCGGAGATTCGCGTGGTCGAGGTTCAAAAACTGAGGACTTTTTACGATTTCTGCGGTGCCTCTGTGCGGAGATTCGCGTGGTCGAGGGTCAAAAACTGAGGACTTTTTACGATTTCTGCTGGCCGCGCGCGACTCTCTGCGGAGATTCGCGTGGTCGAGGTTCAAAACCTGAGGACTTTTTACGATTTCTGCGGTGCGCGCGCGACCCTCTGCGGAGATCTCCGGCTGGAAAATCGTAACTTTTAAGTACAGACGTAGTGTGCGGAGCGTGCTCCCGCAGCTCAGGCTGGAAAATCGCAACGTTTAAGTGCAAACGTAGTACGCGGAGCACAACCCCGCAGCTCCGGCTTGAAAATCGGTACAAACGTAGTACGCGGAGCGTGCTCCTGCAGCTCCGGTTGGAAAATCGCAATTTTAAAGTACAACGTAGTACGCGGAGCACATTTCCGCAGCTCCGGCTGGACAATCGCAACTTTTAAGTACAAAAATAGTACGCGAAGTACATTCCCACAGCTCCGGCAGCACTTGCGCAGAGCAACTTGCGCAGAGTCACTTGCACAGAGCAACTTGCGCTCTGCGAATTGCACAGAGCACTTGCACAAAGCACTTGCGCAGAGCAACTTGCACAGACCAACTTGCACAGAGCCAACTTGCACAGAGCCAAGTTACATAGAGCCAAGTTACCATAGAGCCAAGTTACCATAGAGCCAAGTTACATAGAGCCAAGTTACATAGAGCCAAGTTGCACAGAGCCAAGTTGCACAGAGCCAACTTGCACAGAGCCAAGTTACATAGAGCCAAGTACATAGAGCCAAGTTACCATAGAGCCAAGTTTACCATAGAGCCAAGTTACATAGAGCCAAGTTTAAGTTACATAGAGCCAAGTTACATAGAGCCAAGTTACATAGAGCCAAGTTACATAGAGCCAAGTTACATTACATAGAGCCAAGTTACATAGAGCCAAGTTACATAGAGCCAAGTTACATAGAGCCAAGTACATAGAGCCAAGTTACATAGAGCCAAGTTACATAGAGCCAAGTTACATAGAGCCAAGTTACATAGAGCCAAGTTACATAGAGCCAAGTTTACACAGAGCCAAGTTGCACAGAGCCAAGTTGCATAGAGTCAAGTTACATAGGGCCAAGTTGCACGAGCCTGCTTTGCAGAAGCTGTTGCATCGATGTAAAAGGGCGTCTCCGCGGCTGGAAAAGCACATGATGGGAAGCGCTTGGGGCAAGATGCTTTCGGGCCAATCGTCCTCTAGTTTTCTTTTTCTTTCAGTGAACCCTTTGAAATCCTCAAACATTGAAACTCCTTTTTGTGGAGTGATGTGATGTTTTTGGGTAAATGTAGGGAACCCTGAAAGCATGGGGTCTCGGTCGGAGTTCTGTGGAAAGGATTAATTTGAAGGCCCTTGGTTTCTCTGCTGGGGGGGGGTATGCAATCTTGGCCTCCCCTTTTTTGCGTAAGATGCTCCTTTGCCTTTAAACCATTGCTCGGCCATGAACATGTGACCAGACGGCACGTCGGAGCACACTTGTGAGAAATGCTTTCAGTTCTGTTCTATCTCCATTTGACTCTACATGAGTGGTCTTTGTATGGTTTGCACAGTGAGGTTTCCTTGTCCTTGGATATTTGTTGGATGTCCCCGGTTGCTCTCCATCCAAGTCGCTCAGTCGCACATCTGAGGTATGTCGAGAAGGCTCTCCGGAGCCACCGGCCGCGGAAAGCCGTGGCGCCCGCGTGCGCGCCTTGCGATAGGCAGTGCCTTGCGCCCATGTGCCGTGAGGGAATGGCGGATGGCCTTGCTTGGCAGGAGTCAGTCGGCCGATTTCGGGCTTCGGGCGCAAAATGCAGGGACCTTGGTTGCATTCGCTTGATAGGGATTGCAACCGTCTTGATAGAATCAGATGGCGTTTGCCCGAAGCATTTGTGGCAGCAATACGGCTTGTTTGCCACAGGACACAGGAGGCGTGCATAGTCCAAGCTCCACATCCTGACAACCTTTTTGCAGGACTCCTGGCCGAGCTTGGCAGCCCATCCTCTATGCCTGGAGCTGAAGCAGAGCCTGGAGCAGCGGAGTTTGGCAGATCCTTCCTGTCACCTTGTGCTGTCCTACTCCGGGGGTGTCGATAGTACCGCGCATTTGTTGCTGCTGCTGGCGCTGAAGCGGCAGAGCAGACAGTTCCCAAACGTCTCCTGCCTTCTCTTGTGCTACCCCAACCGGGAGGCGGAAGAGGTTGAGGCCGAGAAGATGTGGGCTGCGTGGGTGTGCCAGCAACTTGAGGCGAGCATGTGTCAAGATCTGGACCCCCCAAAGATGTGGTCTTCCTTTTGATTTTCCTTTGAACCAAGTGAAAAGGGTACCCTCAAACAAACACACGCTGAGGCGGACTTGTTCATGTACGAGGTGTGCCTGGCGCGTCCGCATGCAGAGAACGGCGAAGAGGTCGGGGTGACGCGTGAGGAGTACGAACGCTGGACCAAAGAGATCCGGTTCAGGATGTACCGATGCTTGCTTGAGGACTGCCCGGGGCGCTCTGCAGTGATTCTGGGTCATCATCAGGATGATGTGGACGAAAACCGGCTAGATCACTTGATGAAGGGCCACGTGCTTGGGGATGTGGAAGGTATGTGGGCCTGGCGCGAGATCCATGGAGTCCAGCTTTTTCGACCGCTGCTTCACCGCCGCAAAGTGGACTTCACGAGGCGCTGCTTCAACTGCCGCCTCAAAAACGAATCTAGTTTGAACGTGTTTAGTCTAAACTGTATGAGCTATTGTGAGGTTACAAAATTAACACGAACATGGTTGTGTCTGGTTATGGGGACCCCTCAAATTGGTGGTATTCCTCTTGGCCCTCATACCCCACATGGACCGGACCTGCCTGCTGCCTGAGGCTCCTTGAGGCATATCCCACCCCTCACTTCCGAGACTCCACGCCCGCGTGGTCGGTGCGTGGCGCCACGCGGAGAGCGCTGGACGGTCTGCGGCCGGCGGAGGGTGCGGAGCTGTCGGAGCTGCTGGGGAGCTGCGGGCGGCTCAGCAAGGAGGTGGGCCAGGAGCGGGAGCGAGGCATTGGACATTTCTTTTTTTGGGCGGGGGGCGGTGGCCGCCGGTCGCAGACGGTCGCGCAGCTTGCACGGCAATTTGCGATTAGGAGGTGGACTCCTCGATCGCATTGTGGGCGCAGCACCACGTGGGAAATCTGCAGCTGCCGAAGGGCGCCACGGGGGTGGCGATACGCCTGCGCGAGCTCTTCCAGCTGCAGGTGAGGTGTAGGGCGGGTTTGATCGAATTGGGCAGCATTTTTTGGTGTTTTCCTTCTGTCAGATAGGGCAAAATTGCTTCAGCAACCACCCCCCTGCCTCCTCTGTTTATGGGGAAACCAACTCGGGTCCCGTGTTGGCCGACGCCTTGAACCCCGCCTTCGGTCACAGGTGAGATTTCACTACGATGAACCCCCCAATGATCCGATGCGCTATCCTTTCATGAGTTCCGGCATCTTCTTCTTAGTGAGTGCAGGCCCATTAAAAGAGCCGATCCCATAAGGCGAGAAGGTCACAGTTTCCTACCTTTCGTGTCACTGAGCGCGGGACGTCCTTCTGAATGGTTGGTGGACATAAATCCCAAGGTAAATTATGTCCACAGCGTTTTGCATGAAGCATCGTACCCATGTCGAGGGCTTTGCCGCCCTTTTCCGAACATGTGTTGTATTTCATATGAGTGCTGGTTTCTCGAAATGGGCCCGTTGTCATCTTGGGGAGGTCCGGGCCGGGGTCTCATCTTGGCAAAGCCCTTCGGCTTAGGTGGGCGCGCGCCTGGCGGAGGTGAAGCGCCTCATTTCCCGGATCCGGGAGCTGTGGAATCCGCTGGCCGAGGCGCCGTTTCTTTCCAAAAGAAACAGCGGGGTTTTGGGTGCAGTTCGGGGCCGGGACCCCCTTTTTCTATCCAAAGATTCCCCTGTGATATCATTGATCCCTCGTCTAATTGCCGGCCGTTTGCCTGACGCTCAAACCAGGCGCGGTTGTCTCCAAATATATGGGACTCCCCCCCAATAGTAAACCAAATGTGGTTTCGAATTGAAATCCCTTTTTAAGCAAACAAATCCCCAATCGTCTGAAAATTGAATCCAGAAATATCCCAATGGTTTCCCTTCACCCAAAAACAGAACAGCATCCCCCCCCCAACTTCCGGAGCCTGGCAAATGGGAAGCCACTCCCCAACCTCCAAACCACCAAAGGATGGGAAAGCCGTTCCCAGCTGGCCGGGCCAGGCACCGGCGATTTGCGCCATTCCGGAGGCCCTGCCGGACATCGAGGGCCTGCTCTTTGAGAAGGCCTTCTTTGCGGCAGCCGGCGGCACGCAAGGCTCCGAAAACTTGCTGGACACGAGGCCAGAGCTTGGGTTCCTTTCGGGCAAAAGGGCTCCTTACAGAGGGTTGCTATTGGTTGTTGGCCCCTTTCCTTTCCTGCTTCGCGTTTCATTCTTGCCTGCGCTTTCTACCTAGGCTTCTTGGGCCGCTTTCTCTCAAGGGTGTCAATAGGCAGCGCTGCACGAGGCGGGCGGGGCACTACCACAGCTCGAGCGGGTGCTCAGTGAACCGCCGCGCGGTGCGGCATTTGTACGAGAACATCAAGGCCCAGACGCCCAGCAAAGTTTTTTTCTTCGGGGTTTCCCTCCTTGGCTCAAAGGAAATCATAGCGGATTCATGGGGGGTCATTCCCCCATTTTTAGCTGAGAACTAGAAAGTAAAGGGCTGGACTTTACTTTTCCATGGCCTGAGGCCTCGCAGAAGCCCCAGTTCAGCGGCGGGCTGACTCAGGAGTGCCCTGGTTGCAGGCCATACAGGTGATATTCCATGGTAAAAACTGCGCGCGTTGCGCGTGAAAAGCGTGAGAGCTGCGCAACATAGGCGAGCAAAAAGCGTGGCCGCGTCCATCCGGTCGCTACGTGGTCTCGGCGCGGGCTCGATCCCCTTGGCACGGCGGCACGCCCTGTAGCGCAACCTTGACAAAGTGATTCCTTGCGCACTTTGGGTGGGTCGACCCTCAAGAACCGGAGGTTTGATTGGTAAGATTTCCAAGCCATCAATCGGTGGGTCGACCTTCAAGAGATAGTTTGTTTGTTTTTTCGCTTCGCTGGCAGAACCACTATGGACTTCGGCGGGTCAGCCTCGAACAACTCAGTGTTTCTTGCATACTTTTCACTTGAAAAGGAAGATCATTTCAAACGGAGTTTGATAGCCCTATCTTTGGGCCAAACAGGGAAACGTCTTGACTTGGCATTGTTCCCTGCGTGGCTACAGCATGTTTCGGTTGCGATTGTGAATACATTCTTGTGAACCGACAGTTTCTGCCCAAGAAGGGGTGGGAGTGGCGGGAGCGCCGCAGAAACTTTGACCTTCCCCACTGGCCCAAGGCCGCTCCATACCCAAAAGATATGTCAGAAAAGAACAGCTTGATGGCTTCCGTGATCTCTGCCGTTGTGCGCACTTGAGCTTTGTGTTTGTGGGCCCCTCTGCCTTTGATGAAATTGCCTCTTGTCACGCAGGAATTTCGACGGCAGTGTGTGGCTTTCGCATAGTCAAGATTTGGTTCAAAGATGAAACAGAAGAAGAAGAAGAAGGAGAAGAAGGAGACGCAAGCTGCAGAGAAAGAGAAACGAGAGAGAGAGAGAGAGGGGCAGAAAGAAAGGAAGAAAGAAAGCCAGAAAAAGAGGAAAGACATAACGAAAGAAGAAAAACAAGGAACAAAGAAAGGACCAAATAATTGAAGAAAGACAGAAAGAAAGAAAGAAAGAAAGAAAGAAAGAAAGAAAGAAAGAAAGGAAGGAAGGAAGGAAGGAAGGAAGGAAGGAAGGAAGGAAGGAAGGAAGAGACAGAGACAGAGACAGACACGGAGAGAGCAATGTCGAGCAAGAGAGAGAGAGAAAGAGAGAGAGAGAGAGAGAGACAGAGAGAGAAAGAGGGAAAGAAAGGAGGAGGGAAGGAAGGACAGAAACAGAGAAATAAACTAGACCACGGTTGGCCCGAAAGCAGAACATCGCAAGCGAGGTCGGCCCAACGCTGCAGGATGCGTTCTTTTTCCCTACACGAAGCATTCGTGAAGCAAGCGCGAGACAGCACCAGGCAAGGTGCTCTGCGCAAACTGGTCGGTGCAAGTTGGTCTGCGCAAGTTGCTCTGTGCAACTTGCTCTGCGCAAGTTGCTCTGCGCAAGTTGCTTTAAAATGCAAGTTGCATCTTGCGACGCCCGCCCGCGGACCAGGGAGGAATCGAACCCGCGACCCGCCGGTTCCGGGAGCAGGCGCGCGAACCACGAGACAACTCCCGAGGAGTTCGAACAACAAAAGTCGCAAAAACCTCGAGTTTTTGCACCTCCACCACGCCGCGCGAGCACCGTAGAAATCGCAAAAAACCTCGAGTTTTTGCCGCAGAAATCGCAAAAAAACATGGGTGTTTGCACGACCACGCCGATCCCCGCAGAGGGTTGCGCGAGCACCGCGGAAATCGCAAAAAACCTCGAGTTTTTGCACCTCGACCACGCCGATCCGGTTGCGCGAGCACCGCAGAAATCGCAAAAAACCTTGAGTTTTTGCACCACGACCGCGCCGATCCCCGCAGAGGGTTGCGCGAGCAGCGCAGAAATAGCAAAAAACCTCGAGTTTTTGCACCTCGACCACGCCGATCCCCGCAGAGGGTTACGCGAGCACCGCAGAAATCGCAAAAAACCTCGAGTTGTTGCACCTCGACCATGCCGATCCCCGCAGAGGGTCGCGCGGGTTTAGAAATCGCAAAAAACCATGGGTTTTTGCACCTCGACCACGCCGATCCCCGCAGAGGGTCGATTTTCGTGTAGTGTCGTCGGCACTACCCCGCCGCCCTAAGAAGAGATTTTAACTCCTCGCAAGTCAATTGCACTTGACTCCTTGCACTTGCAACTTGCACTTGACTCCTTGCTTGTTTTGGCAAATGACAATGACCTTGCAATGAGATGATGATGATTCCTTGCAATGAACACCTTGTAATGATCTCATGAGAACAACTCAAGTGAACCCAGCGGAAAGAACCCTTCGCCATGCTTCGGGATAAAGAAGGAGAGAAAGAAAGAAAGATTAAGAGAAAAAGAAAGAAAGAAGAAAGAAAGAAAGAAAGAAAGAAAGAAAGAAAGAAAGAAAGAAAGAAAGAAAGAAAGAAAGAAAGAAAGAAGGAAGGAAGGAAGGAAGGAAGGAAGGAAGGAAGGAAGGAAGGAAGGAAGGAAGGAAGGAAGGAAGGAAGGAAGGAAGGAAAGGAAGGAAAGGAAGGAAGGAAGGAAGGAAGGAAGGAAGGAAGGAAGGAAGGAAGGAAGGAAGGAAGGGAAGGAAGGAAAGAAAGAAAGAAAGAAAGAAAGAAAGAAAGAAAGAAAGAAAGAAAGAAAGAAAGAAAGAAAGATCATGAAATGAGCACATGACGAAGGATGACACCATCTGTATTTTGACGGAAAAAGAGACCAACCAAAAGGCAGAGGAAGAGGAGGAGAAAGACAAAAGGAGAGAGACAGAGAGAAAGGAGAATAGAAAGAGAAAGAAAGAGAGGGAGAGGGACAGACAGAAAGAGAAAGAGCGGGACAAGGAAGAAGGGAAAGATAAAGAGGAGGAGAAAGAGAAAGCGCAAGACGAGGAGGAGGAAGGGAAAAAGACAGCGAGAGAGAGATGTTCAATTTCTTATGTATACATATGTATATATATATATCTATAACTGTGTATTTAATGTATTCATTCATTGGATTGTTTGTTCATTTGTATATCTCCTACTCGATGACAGTTGCTTTGCAGACCTTTTCGGGCTTTTGAGGTTGGGCTACTTGTACGTCTCTGATTCGGAGGTCTTGGTCCTGTACGATGCTTCGTCGCACCCGGACGCAGACTTCAAGACCATGCGCTCCAGCATTGTTGCGGCAGTGGCAGCGTGGGCAGAGAAAGGGGCGACCGTCGCCAGAACAGAAGTCTGTGGTCCATTTGGTTGGGAAGAACATAAGGGGATTCCCTAAATTTCTGACTCCTGCGCACAAGCCAGGTATTTTGACCATGGCTTTTGGATCCCATGACCGTTGTGCCGTTGCAAAATGCAGCGCTCGCCCGAAGGCACGGAAATCTAATGCGCAATGGCTGGCTCCATTGATGGAGAGCAACGCGATGCGATGCGATACGTGCCCTTTTGCAGGAAGAGACCTTTGCAATCTTCCATCAGGGAACCTAAACTTCATAGGGTTTTTCCGTTCACATAGGCTGGGAAAGCTCGGTTGTGTGAGAGCCACGTCCGGCAATTGGTTTGTTGTTTCAGGCTTGGGAAGGGCAAATGTTCGACTCCTCGCAACTCAACAGAAAGGGACCCCTGCGTCCGAGTTCCAGGCTGGCTCGACCTTGCAGGGTTGAAGCAACGCACGCATCCCACCAATCGGGGCCGTTCATAAACACACGGGGCCGCACCTCCACAATGCAGGGGGCCCTCTCTTCGCGGGTGCGAATGGAGGACCGGGGGGTCTTTGGAGCGAACCTAGGTTTGGAGCTGGTCATCAAGAGCACCACGCTGATCCAGGCGGGCTATTCGCCACAGCTTGCCAAGCCGCTCCTGGGAAATCGTCATTCCTTGACAATCGCAAGTTTTCAGCACAGCCGAAGTGTAGGGCATCTCGTTTTTGGGAAAGCAGCTTTTTTTGGCGAGTTTATGTCAACTTTCAGGGGCATGTTTTCATGATGGCAACGGCAGGATTTTCTACAGGGACTTTTGCCAAGCGCCCAAGTATTCCCCAAACCAAAAACATCTCCTGTAGAATTTCAGTTTCTTGTCCAGGCTACTTGGCGAGGCAAAGTTCGGCGACGAATGTGCCCTGCCACTGCATCAGCGCCTGTTCGGTTCCTGGGAGCTCCTTCAAGAGGGAATCCATCCTCCAGAGGCATCTTTTGTCGTTACTCTTTTTGTTAGTCTGGACGTGTGATTTGTATGCGATGTTTTTTTCCGCAAGTGCCATCAGTCATTGGGCTCCTTCTGGTCACAGATTTATCGTATGCATTATTTTTGCGCTCATGGCGCCGGTGACTTGATTTGCAATGATGGGCTCACTTGGCATCGGTGGCAGAAATTACAGACCCTGCGAAGTCCAGGCCAGTTGGATCGGTGTCTTTTGCTTCTGAGGCGCTAGGCCGCTAGACAACCTCACCATTGAATGCAAAATGAATCATTTGACAGGCTTGTTTTAGCCAGACGTTCTAGCGACTACTTCAATGCAGCTTGACAGGCAACATTGCAATCTGCGTATCCCGCATCCCTGTTCAAGATGCAGGTATGTGGCCATTTGCCTCTTCACGCGCCATGCCTGGTGCTTGGCGCTGCTACACTGCGAGTGCCACGCCGTACGTGTTGGAGGGTGGAGAAATGCCGTGCAACTGGAGGCTTCCATGCTTGCTGGGGCCTGCTGGGGGGTTAATCCCTTCAGCCACCTTTTAGGTGTTGTTAGGCCAGTGGTTGACACAACTTTGCCCAACAATGGCTGTGCCCAGGTCCAAGCCTTGCTGAAATCCAAGCAGGCCGGTCACTCAGATCCAGTCGCAGGATCGAAATTCTTCGGTGGGCTATCATTCCCTCCCTTGCCCAAAGTGCAGCTTTTGACATTCCAGTTTCTTCGTTTTAGTTTGCTTTTAGCCCAGGTTCCCAAGGATGAACCTTTCATTCCGCTAGCCCCCGGACCGACTAAAGACCGCGGATAATGGGCGTGTTCCCCCAAAAGCGATCCAGACACGTGGGGCCAGCTGTCCAGGCCCGCGCAGACCTGGAAAAGCGTAGGCAGGGCTTCAGGAGGGCCGGGCTTGCGGTGTAGGCCGCCCTATTCCGCCGGATTGATCAGTTTGCGGTCGTTGGACGGTCCCAACTTCCGGGCTCAACCACGTAGCCTTGCACAATTTGGTAGTAATGTTACAAGGGGTTTTCCATCGCATGGCCCAGGCTCAGGGCCGAAATTGGGCAGGTCTCAGATCAGCGCCGTAAAGATCCAGGCGCTCGCCAGAAGCAAGCTGGCAGGGGCGCCCTGCGCGTTCGACTGGCGCGGTTATTCAAAAGGGGGTTTGTGCATTTCATACTTGCAGGGGTCATCCTCGAAATTCCTCACTCAGAACCAGCGAGTCTCCCGGCTCCACACGTGCCATGGTCAAAAGACCGGTGGGTAGAGATAGTCATCGAAACTTATTAACCGTAACTCCATATAAAGAGATACAAATCAAGCACCAGCGCCTTAAACACTTTGGGTACAGAATCCACGCAACTGTCCAAACCAGGCATGAAATGTGTGGCTCTTGTTTGTCAGCCGTCTTTTTTTGCGTCAGTTGCACGCGAAATGCTGGAAGCAGCAACATGTTGACTTCCCGGTCATGTAGCTACACAGCCGTCCTGGCCTTTGCTCGTCGCAAAGGCTCGGGCGAAATACCTGAGCATCCTGAAGAAGGTGCCGAGAGGGGGAATTGGGGGGGGGGAGATTCTGTTTTAACTGGGACACCCTACTAAGCTACAAGGATCTATTCAGTGGCTGCCGCTTTGACCTCCTCAGCATTCAGAGTCATCAAAGCCACCCGCACCGAGCTGGACACAGAGAAAGAATTCAGGGCCATTAACCATGATGGTCTTCGCCAGCGTGAGGAAAACCCCACATGGTCTGTTGAGCGTGCCTTTTTCAGCTAAAGAAGTCCAAACGGAAAATCACAATTTCCAGTTAGGTGATATAAAGAGAAACCAAGAAGAACCCTTTTTGGCGTCCTTGTTTTTCACAGCTCGTGACCGGACCCTTGCAGCCGGCCCGAAATGCGGCAGGTGGTGAAGATCCAGGCCCACTGGCGTGGACTGCTGGGGAGGCGCTATGCCAAGCAGCACAAGCTCCACGTCAGCGCCACCAGGAGCCATTCGGCTCGTCTTTTCGGATTCGGAGCAAATCTCAAACTGAATGTAGGTTTTCCTTTTTTGTTTCCCTTTGAAGTATCCAAACAGCGACACACGGAGGGAGACCCTCGCACCTTGATGGCCGTGGTCATGGTTCAAGCCCCTTTATGCAATATGTTTATTATCAGGAGAAAACAAGGCTCAAGACCAGGGGGCGTTTGCGCCCGACCAAATCCTGCGGAAGCGTCCGAGGTGTCGAATTATGAAGCAGATCCTTGGTTCAAACTTTAGAGCCTCCGGCTCAGTCCGCCGACATTGTCCTCTCCCTTTTCTCCTTCTTCCTCTCTTCCTTGTCTCCCTTGTGTATTCTGTCGTCCTCTCTCCCTCCCTCTGCTCCCATCCTCCCCATCCCCCCAAGCCTCTCTCTCCCCAATCTCCCTCTCTCGCATGCATGCATGCATGTACATATGTATGTATGTATGTATGTAATGTATGTATGTATGTATGTAATGTATGTATGTATGTATGTATGTATGTAAGTTGAATAATCACGACCCCTTGACCCCCAAAGAGGTACCCCAGAAGGGTGTGCATGCATGTGATGTTAGAGGCCCCATTGACTGCATGTGTTTCAAGTGACATATCGAATGGCAATGACCATTTGGCTCAAGATGCCCATCAGATCAAAACCAGGGTTTGCGCTCGCCTACCGGACTGGGGTTAATAAGGGTCCCGGTTTCTGGTTCGCTGTGTTTCTTTCCCTGTTGAGTGGTTATCAGCCGTAACTGCTTTTTGGGATTAGGCCCCCTCAGTCCGGTAGTCAGCGCACTTCGTGCATGGACCCGGCACCGGCCTTCTCGGCCCGTGGTCAGAGGGGCGGGTGGACGCATCGTCGCAAGCTCTACTACGAGGCCTTCGACGAGCTCACCCGGTGGGCCTGGCGGGAGTTCAAGGTTGGGGTGACAAGGGTCGCCTGGGAGGAGGCATCGGATTTGCACCGGAGCTCCCTCCTGGCGTGGCAAGCAGATTTTTCCGATAACGCTTATCGGCATCTGCGAGACCTCTACCCCGACCTCTACGACGCCGTCATCGCCCGAGGCCGACACCAACCGATCCCAATCCTACAACGGGCACAGGCCGCAGCTCAAGGCGCGGCAGGGCAGCCTCCAGCTCCAGTACCAGCCCAGCCTCAGCAACAACCAAGCACCCCATCAAGTCCATCCTCCACCACAACTGTGTCCACAATCAAGGCTGCAGCTACAAGCGCAGCTCCGACACAGGCAGCAGCAGGGCCGGGAGATCAGGCTGCAGCTCCAAGCGCAGCGGTTCCCACAAGGACCAGCTCTGAGAGCCCGTCCCGACCGTCATCCTTTCCGCCTGTGAAAGCAGGCCGGAGAAGGTACACTGCTGCAGGGAGGTCCTCATCAAGGAGGAAGAGGGCGCCACCGACAAGCCTTCTCCTCCACCGGTGCGGAAGGCGTCAACCCGACGCCCACGATCCAGAACTCCCCTCAGGGCTGCAGCTCCAAGCGCAGCGAGGTCGAGGACCAGGAGCCACAGCTCCCCAACACCTCCGGCCCGTGCATCCCTGAGCAGCCGGCCGCTGATCTTGGCGCCGGCCAACTGCGCCTACCCGACCACTCGGGTGGACAGCACGGGAATCTGGGTCCTCCAGCACCGATACGAGGGAGGCTCACGACCCACACGTCGGGCGCCACACCCGGTACCCTCCGACGAGCCGTACGACCTCCCAGACTCGTATTGGCATCATCCGCCGAGGTCAGGGTCCTCAAGCAACCCTCCCAGAGGACACGGGAGGGCCGAACATTTTGACCTGAGTGCCTCACCGCCGCCCGAAAGGTCCGCGCGTGAGGTTTACTCAACCCGGACAGGGTGTACGAGGCTGAGCAGGTCAGCATCAAGAGGCCTGCACCTGCCGGGCGCGACCCATCCACAGCACCCGCAACAAAGACCGCTCGGATAGTTTTTACCAAGCGGGAAGCCAAGGTCAAAGCGCCCCCGCAAAGCGTAATTGACCAGGCAGCTGCGGATCGCGCTGCGTCAAAGGCCATACCCCCACCACCGCTGAGAGCACCACCAGCACCCCCAGCACCAGTGCCAAGG